GTGATTTTTGTAAAAAAAATTCTATTCCCAATATCGATTGACTCTTCCAATGCCGACGAGAAAAATAATCTCTCAAGCGCAAGAAACGACATATTAACTCGGTGAAAATTAAGAAAAAGCGAGGTTCAAATAATACAAAACAAAATGTAAATAATTCAAAAATGAATTAAGAAAAATTTAGGTTGATATTTATAAGATCAAAACACGTTGACAAACAAAGAGCTAGCGTATTTTTAAAGAAATGTATAATAATTCTGTACACCATCCAACAAATGAAGATTTTTCATTAGCATAGTGACTCGCGCGTAACCATGTTATACGTCGTTGTTGATATTTTCCACAAATACAGCTACAATACATATATAGTGTTGTTCGCCGCTAAAAGGATTAATTGCATTTTACACACAGAGACATTTATAGAGACGTCTCTCGTTCTAGCCGATAACGACTCGCGAGAGAAATTTAAAAGCTACCTGTCCAGGTAGCGAACAAATTATCTCGCGTTACACGTCCTCGCTAACGACACTCGTTGTTACGGAAACAAACAACGTTCGGCGAAGCGTTCGTGACTCGTGGATCGAGAGGCCACACCGATAACGGTCACTATAATTCGGAGCTACCGCGGATGACTCCCCGCGCGTCGCTTTCACTTCGCTGTCAAACGTGTAACGGATCAACGATTACGCTCGTTTCTCGTATCGCTAACGGTAGATTTTTTTCGATCGGTTGGAAATCTGGATCGAGATGACGACATGACGCAGCGTGCATTGATGCGAGCGAAATGAGTTGATTGAAAAGCAGAGAACGCGTGTGGCGTGTGAAACGCGCACTGAGAAATTAAGGATCCGTGTTCTTGATATATGTACGTGTACAAATATAGCATTCGTGTATTAAAAAAATAAAAAAATAAAAAAAAACAGGAATATGCTTCTCCAATCTATCCCTGTAAAACGTGCATTCTGATTTCCAAGCACCACTTGCGAAATTTTCCAACCTTACAAACGTCGACCTAATTCTGCGTCTTCGAAAACTGCAGCTACTCATTTTAGGACTCGAAACTAGCCTGCACAAAGCGGATACATTGCAAACGCATCGACTAATAGTTTTTTACTTTCGTGTAGTACCATTCGAAACCCAGTGAAACGAAACGTAGACATCGAACTTGACTCGGAGCTATAAACATATATACGTATATATTGAACTTGATCCTAATCCTATCGGGAGCAGATAATACTTCGTTATACACGCGGAGTGAAAGTATTAAAAATTAAAATTACACAAAGTGAAATTCAGATTCGTACATATATCTTTTTGGACGCGAAGCAGCGTCCTCTGCTAAAAAGTGAAATTACGAATAAGAAAGAAATAGAGGGAGAGCCGGAGTACCTACAACGTTCAAGAACGGAGACCAGCTCATTTTTTATGCATTCCTCCGACGCAATCGCAAGCCCCTTGCCTTTTTTTTCACCTCTTTCCTCAGTGAAATTACATGACCCAGATTCCGATCAACGACAGAACAAAAACGAATCGCGTTTCTTGCAAAAATAATCGGAAATCCCGCGACGTGGATGTAGATGGATTCGGGTTTATATGGGCGACGGTGTAATAACGCGGCGGTATTTTATCAGAAGAAAGGACGCTGATATATATACGGAGAGAGGTCGCAACACTCCGCATTCCAGGCCGAACGAAACCAGAAAATTACGGGACGATAAATCAGAAAAAGTTGCGGTGTATGAAATGCGCTGCTCGTCGATACACGGGACCGTTTTAATATTGCCATCGAAAGTACGGTTACTGACTTTCTTTCATTTTATTTTGATAATAAAAATGAAAAAAAAAAAAAGGTGAAGAGGACGAATCTGCCCGAAGTTTGTGGCAGAAGATTGGTTAATTCTCAAAGATCACTATCGAGTTGTAGATAACTAATTACATAGATGACTAATTTATTCTACAAATAAGGAAATTCAATTAAATTGAAAATTCTGGAACTGGACATTCTAATTCTAAATTTTTCTATGGTTCTCGATAATCCAATAATATCGTAGTATTGTATTGAGAATTAATATGAATTGATATTTAGATTATGAAGAGTGTGTTAATATTTTTAGTACTCCTACGTTGAGCTTTCCTAAATGGTTTAAATAAAGGTCATTGAACCATAATCTACGGAAAAATTCGTGTAACGTCCGCGTTTTTCAATTTCACGAGATATTATACACAAATAACCAAGATACAACAAATTTTTCACCTGCAGCGCGCATTCTATTACCAAATATTCGAGCCGATAGAATTTTCATTCAATTTTTCAAATATTTCGCTTGCATCGACTTCCAACGTAAATTCAATTACTGTAATTGAACTAGATAGGGAATGTAAAAAAATTACGTCCATCTTGCCGGTTCTTCCGTCATTATTTTCCTGTTGTTTCTCGAATTTTTAAACATTACGTAAGCGTGAAACATAATCTTCTTGCGAGATTTCGAAGTTTCATTCATCAGTTGCTTGCAAGTTATAAATACAACTATAATACTGCTGTGTATACTATACTACCGGAGACGTATGCACGTGTTTGGTCCATTCACGAATCCGTAAAAACATCAGTCAATTTTTCCAGCCTCGAGTCACACATAATGCATTTACATACAGTGTAAACGGTCCTTACGAAGGTTAATGCAAATTTTTCTCGTCAAATTGATCTTTTTCATCGTCGGATATAAAAACTGATGTACCTGCATATTTGCAAGCTTTCCTGCGAAACTGTGCATATTCAAATTGCGGAAATAATCAGGAAATCTTTCGATAATTTTCGTTCCTCTAGTTTTGAAGTTACGAGCTTGTAACAACGAAATAAAAAAAAAAATTTGACATATAAATTTACTATGCGTCGAATTCAAAGTGCAAAATAAATTGAGGCAATATTATTAGTTAAAATTGTTTAATCTTACTTCATATTCTGATAAAATTTACTAGTACTACATACTATTTATATTTATTTCATTTGTTAATACAATGAAACTTCTATTGGTATCATTATATCAGCTTTAAAATGCACGGAAGGAGAGCATTTACTATAATAATCAGCGATGAAAAGACTTTCTGTAACAATGTTTCAGCGATAATTTGCCACCTTTCTTCCCGAGCATCGTACTTAATGACTCGCGGAAATCATCGGATCGTGAAAGCATCGCTCCAAAGCCATTTATCCGCCACGTAAGACAAATGTCTGTTACCAGAGCGATTGCATAGCGTTGAGAATCACTTTCACTCTTTTTTCTGCGGCAAACTCGCCGTATTCTCTCTAATTAACGCGTTTACGAGAAGAAGCAATAAGAACCGGGCTGGGAACGAGTTATGAAATCGTGGAAAATCACGGTTTTCAAACGATAAAAGTGTCTTGATAGTGGAAAAGCAATTTAAAGTGCAGTTGACAGAATATTTTAGAGAAATTTCAGGATCGAAGGATGACAAGCATTCAATCGCTTGTTAATTAACTCGTAGCTAGTAATAACGTGAATTATACAAAGAAAACACTATAATAATAATTATTGACCTGCGTAATATCACTGTACAAGAAGTTAATTGGAAATGAAGGACAAAATACTTTTAAAGGAAATTTCGTTTTGGAGAATATTGATTTTAAAACTGTATATCAAGTGTATATGCAATTAGTTGAAATAGTAACAGTCTTATTATTTATAATATCTAGGATAATAGGCAACTATAATGGTAACCAAACTGATATCTAGATTCGTATTTATGTGAATATGATTAAAACGTAAATAATAAATTGTTCTACTAAATATTACAAAGAATGCTATACTTTAGAACGCTTTACATTTTTATACATCCTACATTAAATAGAAAAGAAAGTATCAGTTTCAAAATCAATGAACGAGAAAACGAAATCTCTCGATTAACCACTTGCGCTGGCAACTGATTGCGGACCATAACGAGTGACCAAACCGTATACAATAATTCGTCGCTTTCTTTTCGATATCACTGGATAAAAATTATCGAGAAGGAATAAATATTACTTTATTATTTGTTTTGACCAGGCTATGCTTAAATATACTTGAAACTAAGAAAATATTGCAATTTTGGAGCAAAAAATTCTCGACATGCGTAGCACGTCGTTCCAGCGCAAGAGGTTAAAGAATATTTTATTCTTCAGGAACCTTGTTGTAATATTCTGTATGCGAATCGTAAACGTAGCTAGATGTACACGAAAAGTCAAGTTACGAGCCTGTTGTGTCAGAAAGAAACTTACTTTCGTACACATAATAATCTCGACCGATCGCGTTTCTGCGAATCGGTCACTGGTGTCATTTATAAAGTCGCATGAACGTGTCGTAGTTTGCCAATAAGGGCGGCAGGGTTCAAGCAGCACAACACGACGTCCTGACTTAACGCCTGTTAACCATTCGCCGTATTTTTGCATTACGTTTCTCGCGAACTCCAATTCCTAACATCCACGTGACACGTGAACGGATCACGTGATAGCCTGTTCCAGATTCAAACATGGAACCGATGCGAGCGCCAACGCGACGAGACAGTACACAAATTTCGCAAATTAAATTTCGTCGTGAGGGAAATCGAGACAACGTGTGAATCTACGATCGCCCGAAAGAATTTCCACGGCGAAACACGACAATTCCCTTCGAAAATCATCGTATCTACGTCACTTCCGTATCCATTGTCAAAACGTCACGAGCCACCGTCCCGCGCAAAAACGAAGATCTCGCGGATTGGAATGGAGTCGCGAATTTCAACAGTTCGTAGAAAGAAAGTGAAAGCCCGAGCAACCGTGTCGCCTGTTCGATTCTTTCCCTCCGTGCACGGCGAATGACAGGAATTCGAGCAGCTTGTTACCCGCAACGAAAAGGGGAGCCTCGTTCGCGTGGTATGTTCGCGCGGTGCTGCGCTCCGATTGGCGCACATGGCGGCCAAGATCACGCACCGGAATCACACTCGCAACGAACGATCATTCATTGACATACCTTGGTGTCCCGCGACGTGTGGTAGTAGTAAACAAAGGCGAACATCCACGCGCATGACAGCAGCAACACAATTTTCACATTTCGCCGCATCTCTGCCTGCGTGCCAGCCCCCGGTCTCGCCCGTGTCGTGCCTCGTCCCGCGTATCGTCCGCGTATCCTCTCGCCAACCACCTCGTCCTATGTCCACGTTTTCACGCGCGGTGTCTCGCTCGGAGGAAACGGAGCATGCACACCCGCCGCCGACTACGCACCGTAACACCGTGGATCGACGCCACTAACGCGAACGAACCGGCAGCCGAAGCCATACTGTCCGGCTTCGACGAGAACGGCTGTTCTGCGATCACTCTGAACGCGCCGCGGCTTCCCAATCCCCGCGCCAGGCGGCGCATCGAGCGCCGCTGCGACGCCCACTGGCCGCTTTGGCGCCGAATTTCGAATCACCGCCAGGCGAATCCTCCTCTACCCCGCTGCCCTAAGTCTTGTATCGGTTTTATGCTGACCTCTCTATGCAACGCGATGCAACATGTTGACGATTTTTCGGCGTATGGGTAAGATGTTAAATGGGCGAGAGAGAGAGAGAGAGAGAGAGAGAGAGAGAGAGAGAGAGAAAGAGAAAGAGATTAACACGCTGACAGTATAATAGTTTCGTCTACATACTTTTACGAGATGTTATGTTACAATAAAAGTGCATTCTTCATTTTGTGCTATCACCTACCTCCTTTGTGTTATTTGACATGTATTTCTTTTTTACAATGTTCAAATAGAAGCTAATTGACAAATAAATAAATAGCTTGAATAGAAGTTCTTGAGTACCTCGCAAGAACGTTTGTACGTTTTGTCTGTGGGGCAACTTTTATTTTATCAAATATAAGTGTGTCTCATTTTATAGTATCATCCTATTTACCTTATTTAAGATTCCTTTATCGAAAACATTTGATTCAGAGGAACAGAAATTGCTAATTGTATCTTCAAAAAATGCCCTCACGTGCGAAAGTATATATACAGTACATTCATTGTAATCAACGTTTATTTTTGAAGATTTAAAAAAAAAACATATTTTTATAAATTTAAGTCAAAATTTAATTCGAATTTTAATTCGTAGAATTATGGACACGAACGCGTTGAAATCACTGCTTACGCGGCTTAAATAATCGAATGTTTCGTTCATTTTTCATGTATTTTTTATATCAAAAAAAAAAAAAAAACAAAAAGAAAAAAGAAATGAAAGAGTAAACTGAAAAATGATCGCTCGACCGAAAATTATAGTTCGTGATCGAGGTTCAATTTCAGCATGCCGGTTTACACGCGAGCCTTTTATTGAATTTTTATTGGCACAAAGTTCACGATAAAACGGAATCTGTCGATTAATTTCCAATACTGTATAAACCATTCATCTCGAATGCTGCGAATATTTTAAAATTTTTAACGCTATATTTTTATTCCATTTAATCATTATTCTCTATTCCTCGACGTGCAGTTTTCAAGATGAAAATCAGCTCGAAATAATGCTTTCACGTTAAAGGTTTTATATTTACTTTTATCTTAATATGTTGAAAAATTACTAGGAAACTCTTCGTGGAAAAGAAAACACACATACGTACGTTTATGTAACGTTCCAAGATAAAGAAAGTTTTAAACGAAAGAACAATAGGAAAGAAAAGGAAGAAAAGTTAGAAGGAACTTATTAAACTCGAATCGAACGTTAAAATTCTCGAACCTGCTATCTTCGATTGTTCTTCTTCGGAAGACACACTCTTTAAGGGGATATATTTTATTGAAAAAAAAAAAGAAAGAAAGAAGGCAAGGAAGAAAAAGAAGAACCAAGTTACTCGTACCACAATGAACCGAACGTAACCGATACTGGGTGGATATCGATAAGTGTCCACGAAATACGCCCACTTTTCACTCGAAGATATGCCTAGTTTCTGATCATTCGATGCAGTCCTCGACGAACTTCGAAACGAGAAAGATATCGCGCGTAACATCCGGCAGGTGATGTTACAATAAAAATTGGATCGAGCACGCTTCGAAACATCGTGGCGACATGGCTACGAGATCGCAATGGTTATTGTTGACTTGGCTGGGATTCTGCGCGGCATGGATGGACGAAAGGTCTGGCGAACGCAATTTCCGGAAGATCCGATCTCTCACCGAGAGAAAAAGAAACTTTCCTGCCCGTGAGACGTTGCATAAACGTAATTTTTAACGCGTTCCAGGCCTGTGTTGGAGTCGCGGGACGGAAATCTATTCATTTCCGCTGCCAAGGACAAGAACATCACCCTGAAGATCTTGGGGAAAGGCTACCTGAACGTGAACGAAATTAATTTACTTCACGTCGCGAATTCCGTATGTGGAGAGAATTCTTTTTTTTTTTTCAAGAATTAACTTTACTCGTTAACGAGGCAATTTGTTTCTTTTTTTTCTTTTTCCTTTAGGCGGAAAGCGCGACACGTTTGATTGAAAGATGGAAAACCGGATACCTGGCCGAAGTGGAATCGAATTTGCAACGATTGATGCAACTCGTGGAGGGTCCGGAAGGTTTGGAGAAAAAAATAGCCGCGTTGAAGGGATTCGGAGAAGGGAACAGCACGTTACAACCGGATATTTCGTCGACGAATCAGGTAAGTATCGTTTGAGACACAAGGAATCATTTCGTTAAGGAATATTTAATAGTTGATACTTAATTCAATTAATCGTTTGCAGTCTAAGTCAGGAACGAGCTTGAAGATTCGGATGATGGTTCATCGAGTATGTATGAACGTTCTACTTAAATCTTTGTATGATTTGACTCTGAAACAGTATCATTGTATTATAAATGATTGCAATAATTTTCGTTAGATTACTAAAATTTTGGATTAATTTAATTTTAGTTTGCATCAGTTCTTTGCGATGGGAATTAAATCAAACTAAATCAAATTGAAAATTCCAGAACTAAATAACGCAAGATTAAATTATTATGATTTCCAATATCCAGTGACATAAGTCAAGGATTAACAACGAATATTAAATAATTATTGAGGTATTTCTAGGTACGGCGAATAGAAGAAAAAGTAAAATCGATAGAATCGAAATTAAAAATAAACGAGTGCAGCAGCAATCCTTGTCAGAATGGCGGCACGTGTCAGGATCTTTACGAGGGATATCAGTGTCATTGTCCGTCAAACTGGGAGGTGAATTATAAAATACTAATACAGTTAACTACCTCATCTGTCTTATCCATAAATATTTATTTATGGCGATATTACAGGGTCCAAATTGCGTGATAGACGTAAACGAGTGTGTTCGACTGTTAGGAACAGATCTTGGATGCCAAAATGGAGCTACCTGTCATAATCTTCCAGGATCGTACAGGTTCTTAATTAATGTCTCTCTGCAAATGTTTATGCAATCTTATATTTTTACAAAGAAAAAGAATTATAAACAACCATAAATAACCAGAAAAGTGTGCTTTCACTGTCACTGTAATATAATATTTTGTCAAAATACATCCCGTCTTAAAATATTTAAGTATCACGCAGCAACCAACGTGATACTTAATAAAATGATTGTTTCATGACATATCTACTAATTTTATTTTCAGGTGTGACTGTACAGCAGGATGGTTCGGTCTCCATTGCACAAAGAAAACTCCCATTTGCAACACGCAAAATTCCAACGAACTCTGCGGTCACGGTGTCTGCGTCAGCAAACCTGGTTCACCGCTCGGTTACACTTGCATTTGCGACCAGGTATATACGACGAGACGCTTAATTTTCGTAACATCGTAATTTTCTCGTAATTTCCACCGTGCAATTCCAAGCTTAATGTTTCTATCAGGGTTGGCAGTCCGAAGGCGCTAATCCAGCTTGCGTCAAAGACGTGGACGAATGCGCCGGAAACCACAGGCCGTGTTCCGTGAATCCTTGGGTTGCTTGCCGAAATGCACCGGGAACGTTCTTCTGCGATGCTTGCCCTCAAGGCTACTCCGGCAATGGTTATTACTGCACCGACATCGACGAGTGTCTGGTGGACAACGGAGGTTGCAGCACCTTCCCCAGAGTTCAGTGCATCAATACCATGGTAATTTAATGAAACATTCATGACTCTGGCAATATTCTACATATTAATCTCATTATAATCATTATCGTCTTTGTATAACACGTTCGTGAAGCCACTGTCAGTGTTACAGTCACAAGAACTGACCGAAATTTAGTTTAAATAAACGTAAGTGTATGTATCCACTTGGCACATCAATCGAAGAAACTTTTAAACAAAATAGAACATACACAAAAAAGAGGTTGATGGAGAATTGCTTGTACACGAAAAATTGTTTTTAATATTGTTCGTTGTTGAATGTACGAAATCCAAAATTAGAACATTAGACATAATTGCCAACAGGGTTCGAGAATGTGCGGTCCCTGTCCAAAGGGGTACAGTGGCGACGGTGTCACCTGCGTCTACGTTGGTAGCTGCGCCATCAACAACGGCGGCTGTCATCCATTTGCCACGTGCGTGGAGAATCCGGCTCTCACGAGCGCCTACGTGATCTGTCGTTGTCCAGCTGGCATGGTGGGTGATGGACTCGGTCCAAACGGTTGTCAACCATCCACCGACCATGTTAATACACCTTGCGCTACTAATCCGTGCGGGCACGGAGACTGTTTGATCTTGGGAAGCACCCCTAGCTGCGTGTGCCACGCTGGCTACACCGGCACAACTAGCCAACGACTGCTGTCGTTCCCAATCTCGTCGGGCGACACGTGCACCGTGAAGGATCCATGTACACCGAATCCGTGCAAAAACAACGGTGTCTGTGTGAAGTCGAACGGCGCGGCGACCTGCGATTGTCCGTCGTCGTACACCGGCAACAGATGCGAAACACCCCGGCAAACCTGCGGCGGCGTGTCCCGTAATACCGTGGGACACCTCGAGTTCCCGATCGGCGGCAACGTTTATCAGCATGGACTGAGCTGCGCCTGGGTCCTAATTACCAACAGCTCGCTCGTGTTGAACGTCACGTTCGACCGTTTCAATCTCGAACAATCGACCGACTGCAAATACGACTTCTTACAGGTATATCGCGTCCACCGATCTTAAAACTCTCGAGTTTGAATCATCTTCGAAAGAAACAATGATTCTTAAGTAAACAGATATCTCACTTGTGATATTTGAAGCATTGAAACTTAATTGATTACATTTGAAATTGAAACTAGGAATGATTGATATTCTTCGTTCTGCTAGAACATCAAATATTACATCGGTGCAAAGAACATTCGTTGTCATTTACATGTTTGTTACAACTTTTTAATGATGCTTCCAATGATATATATTTTGCGTGATTTCTCTTTTTTTAAATTTCGATATAATCGGGAGAAACCGAGACGTGTTTTATTACATTTTTGACGCGTTTCAGATACACGACGGCAGAAATGCCGGTAGTCAGATGATCGGCAGATTTTGCGGCAACACTTCGCCACACGGGAACGGAAATATCGTGTCCTCGCACAACTCCCTGTATTTCTGGTTCCACTCTGATAACAGCATATCCCACGACGGGTTCGCGTTTCACTGGGACAGTATCAAGCCGGTTTGCGGAGGCACTTTGACGAACGATTACGGCACGATCAGCTCGCCTGGATCACCAGGAAGGTATCCGCCGAACAGAGATTGCTATTGGCAGATTACCGTTAGACCCTCGAAGAGGATACAGATCCATTTCGGTCAATTGATGCTCGAAGAACATCCAACATGCGAGGCTGACTTCCTCGAGGTAAGTCAGCCTTTCACTTCACTTCGAGTACAGAATTTTGTCGAACCTTTTGAATATTTAGGCCAACAATTTGTCTGAAGATCATACGGACAATCTACTTGTTTAAAATAATTACATAACGTCCAAAGTTTGAAGGAACATGCATTATTAATTTATTGTTGGCACTGGACTCTTTGACTTTTGATAAGCTCTTACTGAACGCTGAATAAAATTGAAGAGATTGAATGGAATTTAATAATCAATATCGGCATATTTAATATTAATAATTAAGTTACAATAAATTTGAGCTATATACTGCATCTTATTATTTATTACCTCCAAATATTTATTTATTTACAAACGCTTTAATTTAATTAATTTATCGAAAGTTAAAAGTGATCTTGAGTCAATGATCAGGCATTTATCATGATTCTTCCCAGATCACCACCATACACAACGAACGACTGGGTCTTTACTGCAATCACACTCATCCACCGCCTCTGGTGGTGCCAGCTTCCGAAGCTATAATTTATTTCCACTCTGACAGCGCCGGACAAGACGCTGGCTTCCAAATCCACTATTCTATCATCGAAGGTGACTGAAATTCTACCTTATAAATGAATAAATTCCTACTTTCTTCTGTTTCGAACGAATCAGCGAGTTATAAATCGTCCCTTCAGGTGTTCCGGGTTGCAACGACGTGTATACCACTCCGACCGGTACCATTAACAGCCCCGCGATTACACTGTCTAACCAAGAGCTAGAATGTGAATGGAAAATCCTAATGCCCGTTGGCAAGCGGATAGAGATCACTTGGCCTAAGTTCGAGCTCACGTCTACCGACTGTCGAATGCAACAGATCGAGGTATCTCCAGTTCCGAACTCCAAAATGAAATTGAATAGTCTCAAACTAGGCTTCTTTTAAATGAAAACGGTGTCCGTGAGGATAATTTCTAGCGACTGGAAAGTGAAATTCTTGATCGTTCCGTTTTGTAAAACAAGTTCCTGCATTCGTTGTTCAATAATTGTACAAATTCCTCGAATTTTCAAATTTTTACATAAAAACGTATTTTACGTCAAATGTATCTAAATTACGTATCTAAAGAATGTATCGTTGTTCCTTCAGCAATCTGCAAATGTGTGTAACTTGCACGGTAAAGTTCGATGCAATCGAACTAATTTCTACAGACAGTATTTTCAGTTTAAGTTTTCAAAATACAGTCTGAACATCTCAGAAACGTTTGGAAATTTTCGCCAGGTTTACGACGGAGATACCAGCGAGTCATTGTTGCTGCAACGACTATGCGGTTCCATGATTCCCTCCAAAGTCAGATCGAACACGAACGTGTTGCTCATCGTCTTCAAGGCCAAAATGTACGGCAGCTTCACGCTCTCGTACAGTACGACGTGCGGCCAGGTGTTCACCGGCGACTCAGGAATTATCAAGTCACCCAACTACCCGGCCTCGATCGCTCTTTTCGAGAGTTGCGACTACGAGATTAGGCAGCCGCCGGACAAAAGAATCGTGTTGAACATGCTCGACATCAACATCCCTAAGTCATTTGGGAAACGAAACGATTGTTACGGGTATAATTATCTAGACCTGTACGACGGCACAAACGTGAACGCCACACGTCTTGCGCGTCTCTGCGGCACTTCCACCGATGGCATGAGCTACTATTCCACGCACAATGTCATGTTGCTCAAGTATCACAGGATACTAGGACGTGGCTTCCGGGCGAACTACACGACTATTCAGAGCAGTAAGTATGCAATAGCGAAAATGGAAGAAAAGATAAACGAACATAGTGATGGGACCAAATTTAAAATTAATACGTGGAATCACGCAATCTTCTTTTGGACAGTTCAGTATAATTATTTCCTTTTTTTAATTTCTACGCACTTCATTTTTATTTTTCAATCACTCGACGTCAGGGCTGAGGACAAATATGAAATATCAAATAGTAAACAGAATGTACGTGTGTCTCGTCCGTATCTTCATCACACCTTGGACGCACACACCATACTACTCGTTTCATCTTCTGTTTTTCCTAATTACCAATACACAACAAATACGTTCACACAACACACATACCAACCTTGGTTGCTGCGAATCTGGCATCTATGAAATTGCAAGTTGTTCGATGAGCTCGTAGCGAGTGATTTATTTGAAAGGGTGCGGTGGACTGTACACGGAGGTCAGCGGAACGATTCAGACACCGACCGATGAAGGAAAATACCCGAACGACGAAACGTGCGTCTGGACGATACTAGCCCCGATAGGATACATCGTGCAGCTCAGCTGGCTGTCGTTCGATCTGGAAAGGAACATTCGCTGCCGGCACGACTATGTCAAAGTGTACGAGAACTTCATGTCGTACAACAGGGAGGAGATCGGAACGTACGTGCGAAATTCTTCTTTATTCGACGATTGAACTTGCAACTTGTTTGGAATTAAGTTGAGGGATTTCACAGGTTCTGCGGTTTCAAGAAGCCGCCGGTAGTGATGACGCAAGGGAACGAACTGACGTTGGTGTTCCATTCCGACTCGTCGATAACGCGCGAGGGATTCACCGCGACGTACTTCTTCATCGACGCCAGCAAAGTGTGCGGTGGTCATTTTATTAAGACGACAGGCGTCGTACAGTCGCCGAATTATCCGAGGAAATATCCGGGGAAACAGCAATGCAGTTGGGTGATCGAAGCGCCGCACAAGCAAAGGGTGATCCTCAATGTGACGGATTTCCATCTGGAAGCACATAACACTTGCTTGTTTGACTATCTAGAAATCAGGTGAACTCTCGATTTCGTCTCTTTCCTATTCCTTTTCGTTTCTTCTAACCGATGAATCAGTTATAATTAACGATCAACGCGTTTTTTTTTTTTTTTTTTTTTTTTTTTTTTTTTTTGCATTGATTAACACGTTTGAAACGAAAGTATATGATTTTTTTTTTCTTAACTATTTGTCAGAAACGGTGGCTACGAAACTTCTCCATTACTTGGACGATTCTGCGGGACCGATATCCCCACGGAAATTATAAGTCAGACCAATCAGGTATACCTGAAATTCGTGTCCGATATGACGAGATCATTCGCTGGATTTCGCATAGAGTGGGACAGCACGACGATAGGTAAAACGAATTCTTTCGGAAGGAAGAATAGATAAGATAAGAAGAGTGACATAAAAAAAATCGTCTGTTTTTTTATATCTTCGATTTTGGAACCGAATTTGACATCAAATGATTAGTTTTCGATGAGATATTAATAACAAAAAATTTTTAAATGGAACTTGTAATGAGTAAAGCTTCTATGCGTACGAATACTGCATATTTTCTTGTATTATTAAATTAACTTATTCTTAACTTATTCTTAAGTTAATTTAAGAATTTTTGGGAATAATTTTTTTCAATTATTTAACCAAGTTCAGAATCTAACATAATTCTTTTTATCTCAAAAACTAATTATTGGCTCAACTCTTATCGATATCCCATAATGAGCCACCATTCCAAATTTAATTCCAGAATCGAAAGAGTAACACTAAACCGATGTCCAATACTAATCTCGAAATATTCTGCACACAAATTATTGCAATTTAAATGATAATAAGTGAAGTAAATACATTTATAAAATCACGCCTTTGTTTAACTCAATATTAATTTTGATAAAAGTACTTGCAATATTCTGTTATATTTTCTGTTATATTAACCGTTTGTTTGTTAAAATTCTCTTTCTGGATCACTCTTTGTACAATCAACAAAAGAATCTACCTAACGTCAATTCTACCGGTTCTTTCGTCGTTTCAGGCTGCGGTGGAACTTTGAACGCTGCCTATGGCGACATCATATCTCCAAATTACCCGGAACCGTACCTACATCAAGCGGAATGTTACTGGAAAATCGTGGTGGCGACCGGCAGTTTGGTACGATTGCTAATAGTCGATCTGCAATTGGAGCAGCACGACAAGTGCAGATACGACTACATCGAGATATCCGAGGGAATCAATCACCGGAACAGCCAGAGATACTGCGGCAACCCTTATCCAAAAATCATCGAGACGAAGTCTAACATGATGAACATAGAGTTCCGCTCCGACTTTACAAATTCTGGTCGCGGTTTCCATCTCAAGTACGAAACACGTGAGTCGATTTCCTCAGCGGCCCGCATTAAAGTTCCCCTCTTAAATGAATCCGGTGTATTGACCCATCTGCCGTCGGTTCTCACTGATATTTACCCTGTATCGAAGTTTTTCATGGAAATTATTTTTGAATAATGATTCCTCGTCAGAATAAGTTGATACGTGTGGATTCATGGATTCAATGTGCAACTTGTCTCGTATGAGGTAAAGATGATACCAATTTATATACATTAATCGTTACTTAAATTTGGAAAATGACCAATTCTTTATCGTCCATTCTGACAATCAAATTCTTTGTCATTTATACAGTTATATTACAATAAACGTGTCTGAACAGTTGAAATCGATACGTTTAAATTTCACCGATCTACTTCTAATCATTCTTTATCTTCGTCGCGTACATTCTCCTCGAAATTTCAACTGCAGTATGTAAAAAAGAGCCAATGTATATTTTAGCACATTTCTTAAAAACCGAAGAACGTATCAACTTGCCCAAGCTCTCTCCTATTAACAATAAATTTTACTCTCTCTCTCTCTCTCTCTCTCTCTCTCTTCTCTAAACTATTCATTAGTTCACTCATTAGGATCGTTTCATTTCATCTATTAATTTTCTCAGCAAGCAAACGTGTTCCTTTCTTACAGTATGCGAGAACAAACTGCACGGTTTCTACGGGTCGATAGAGTCGCCGAATTTCCCGTACAAGTACGAGCACAATCTCAACTGCAGCTGGACGATCGACGTTCCCATAGGTAACAGGGTCAACATCACGTTCTCTCATTTCGATCTCGAAGGGCCGGTCAACGAGAACACCTGCTCCTACGACTATTTGCAAGTGTCCGAGGGTTTCAGCGACACACCGTCCCACGAACTCGCGAAACTCTGCGATTCCGACGTTCTCCCGGCCAAGATTCATTCGAAGGAGCATCAAGTGTTCGTGAAGTTCGTTACTGACGCTTTGATCTCTTTCAACGGCTTCCGACTGGAATGGGTGGTCGACGGTTGCGGCGGACACCTGACAAGACCCTTCGACTCCTTCACCTCGCCCGGATATCCGTCCGCTTATCCCACGGACGTAGTCTGCGAGTGGCTGATCGAGGTCGACTACTCGCACAGCGTCGAGCTGACTCTTCACGATGTTGGTATCTCTCAAATTGCATCTCAATTAGAGATCGCGATTTCGAACGTATGGTTTTTAATACACGCGTACATGCGTGTCAAAACGCATATTGATATATTCAGGTTTCATGTGATTGTTTATGCACGAGAAGATATCTTAATGTACAAATTTCACAATTTCCAATTTCGTAATTTCATAATTTCTAATATTCATAATTTCGGGAACAAATATGTGACATTTTAAGTAAAATAGAGTTTAAGTAGAAAACATATTCTGGGAATAAAGAAACAACATAAATTTCGAATAACCTAGTAGCAGATGGTTCTTTTCTGCTGCAACAACTTTTCGACTCTCAGAAAGCTTATATTGATATCATAATATAATCAATTTTGTTTGTGAAATTACGTATGTAACTATCTTATATTCTTGTCACATATTTATAATCACAGAAATTAAAACTCAAACATGGTAATGTAGATATAATTTGATACACACGTATCTGTGTATTTCAGTATCCGTGAATTGAAGCATGACCAAATTTAATACACGTGTGATAACGATCTTCATTTTCCACATACAACTTTTTACTGCTCGAAAAAGTCGCCATTGCCGAATGTTAAATAAATTCTATAACTACAAGGAGCTGGTCTTTCTCAGTGTGGAACAGAATACTTATTTTTACGTACAATTAAAATAAGAAAATGTTCATTAGGTGTTTCCATCAGAGATTATCTCAAGTACATACAAACATTGCCTTGGAAGAGAAAAAAAATCCAAACATTTTTAAATAGACGCTTTTTTTAGAACTTTAGTCCTTCAATGACAACATGACTTTATGAATATGAAGAAACATGGAATAATCTCTTTAATATTGTTATTACGATATGCTTGCAGATAGACACCGAGACGAACAAAGACTGCATGTTCGATAAACTGCAAATTTACAGCGGCGAGGATGCGAACGCGCCGAAGTTAGTGGAAATTTGTTATTCGCCGAAACCTGTTGTATACACCAGCTTCGGGAACATGATGTTCATCAAGTTCCAGTCAGATGTGGCGTATGCAACGCGAGGATTCAACGCCAGTTACAGAAGCGTACCCGTTACCTGCGGCGGCAGATTCACCACCGACACGGGCGTCATATTCTCGAAAAATTACCCGAAAAACTATCCGAACAGACAGAATTGCAAGTGGCTGATACAAGTCGATCCGAATTACGTCGTCAATATCACGTTCTTGGACTTTGACATTGAGGACAGCAGGAATTGCACCGACGATCACGTTCAGGTTAGACACACAACAGAAGACTTTACTTTAATGTATCTTTTTATCTTAAGTATCTCTGATTCTTTAGAATTGTTAAGGTTCTTCTTTATACTCATTTATTTCAGTTAACCAACTGCTTTGGATCTTTTTTCTAGTCCTCTTACATCTTTCAGAAACAGAATGCTTGAAATATTAAACTAGTCCAATCTGGTTATTGATCTATTATAGCTTACTGATTTTCTGTATTTGCTAACCTCCATTTCATTTATTTTTGGTTGCGTTCCTATTTATTTTTGTATCGAAGGGTTCTTTGAATAAATAGATAGAAAAAAATTAAAAGAATAGAAAACGACAACGGAAGCTACGAAAGGTTGTACAAGCAAGTTCGAAAATTAGCAAAAGTAAAATCAAGAAGAAATTAACGAATGTTAGTAAACTGTGTCTGTAAGAAATGAATTAAAAGATCAAAGGTTAATTTCGCTAGATGAAATTAATGAAAGACTGTGATTTTTTTTCGACAGATATACGACGGACCGACGACTGACTCACGATTGTTGGGCACCCACTGTCGAAACGAATTGCCACCCTCTTACGTGACAAGCAGCAACGAGATGTTGGTTGTTATGAAGACGGACAGAATATTGTCAGCAAAAGGATTCAAAGCGTCGTATCACAAGGCTTGTGGTGCTCGTATAGTTGTGCGCGATCAAGGCTACATCGTGCCATCCACAAGTTACACCACCGACTTCAACGATAACTGGAACTGTGCGTGGATATTGATCGCCGAGGATCCAGGTAAAATTTACGAGTAATCAGAAATGAAATCCTTCCGTCTGATACGTAATTTTCTCGAGAAAAATTGGGTTTGTCGTTGATGAGATTGCATTTGCAACTTGTGACTGATTGTAGACTGAGTAATTTCATACGTAAATTAAATGACGTCGTAATCTCACCCCTTTGGTCAATAATTTTACCTTGCAAAAATTTCGAGTATTAATTCTTGGAAATAGCTGACCATGTCACTGTGACGTTCACGCATTTGGATATGGGGAGGAACGAAAATTGGAACTACGTAGAAGTGTTTGAGGGAGAAGGTTTGGACGGGCCATCTCGAGGCAAATGGACGTCCAACGTTATACCTCTGCCGATAACCAGCAACGGGAACGCGCTCACCGTGAATCTCCATTCTTTTACTTTTGGAAACGTTTCCTTCACTTACACCGTGTTAAATTCAGGTAAGCAACTTCTGTTTATTGGCTCTGATATCTTTTTCAGTCTGGCAGATTTTTCGATACTGGAAACGCTACATGTTAACTTTGAATAAAGGATTCAACGTTGACTGTATTTTCAGAAGAGTAGATTGCGAATTTTTATGCATTTTGTGTACGTCGTAACATATGTTGTACGGTATATACAGACAAGAGAACGTTTAAATTGGTATCATAGATAAATACATTATTTTAAATACAATAATATAATATTTAAAAAAAGTTAAATACAATATTTTAAATTATAAACTTTCTTTCAAATTTAAAATTTAAACTTTTTTGTCTGCATCCACTGTTTATATTTGTACCAAATATCCTTTCAGACTTAAAATTATTTTAGGAAAAATTTTAGACTCTGAAATTTGATCAATATAATTACAATACACGTACGAGTTTCATTACGAAAATATCAATGTTAAAACTCCAAAATATATTTCACATAATGCAATTTATAAAAATTTCCTGCAAATCGTTCGAATACCTTCGTGAGCAATTGCACTTGCTCCAAACATTCTGTAACTATTACATACCTTTTCAAGAAATTTAATTCAAGCTTGTCCAATGCAACAAAGACTCGAGCGTTACGGCGTTAATAAAATTTCGCGAGCCACTAGAAAATATTATCCAGAAAATATTATCGATCGATCAATAGCCAATAAGCATGAAAGAAGTTGAACTCGGTCGTTCGAATTGCAGCATGCGGCGGAACGTACAACTCGTACGAGGGAATGATCGCCTCGCCGAACTATCCCAACAGCTACCCCCTAAACGCCGAGTGCATCTGGATCCTGGAGAACTCGCCCGGGAACAAACTCAGCCTGACTTTCACCGACTTCGAGCTGCAGCAGAGCGAGAACTGCAACTTGGATTACGTGGAGATACGCGAGGACAGCGGGATCGGCAAGCTGATCAATACGTTCTGCGGGACGAGCACGGAAACGGTCCGGACGTCGAAGAAATTGTGGATGAAGTTCAAGAGTGACGGCGACGACGTCGGCAAAGGATTCGCGGCTGAATTCAAACTGATTGGCGGCGACGAGCTGAGCGGGCCGATAGGAAGAATCACCTCGCCGCTCTATCCGATTCCCTACAGGAAGGAGGAGACACTCTCGTGGAGGATCACCGTGCAGTTCGGGTCGACCATTCGGATCGAGATCACCGATCTATACACCGAGAATTTCAGTTCGATGTGCTTCTCCTATCTCAGGGTGAGTACCGTGGCTGTCTGTTTATGCGAACTTGTAGGAGGTCAGTTTTCATAGCAGGTGACAAAAGAATAGCTCGCTTTTCATTTAAAACTGCTTTTCGTAAAATCGTAGTATTCTTTTCTTTTTTTCAAGTACGCTTGAATTTGGTGAATCTTTTACTGGAGATACGTGGATGTTTTATGTGTGCAAATATAAGTGAAAAACGTGGAATCTTTAGATTTAGACTTTTGATTTCTTTAAGCTTCTTCGAAAGTTGCCTTCGTGCACGTGTGCTTCATAAATTACGAACTTACTGTATCGGAAGATTGTTACGTCAAAACTAGGGCACACTGCGTGTATCGCACGCGTGTAATATAGAACGTGTACGCTCAAACTCTGTTCCATGCAAATGAAGATAAACGAATTGATGGAGAAATATCCCTGTAACATTCTAATGGTAACAACTCGGAAATCGCATAACCGGAAACGTTTGAAACAAACTTCGATCTCGTGTGCTTTGGACAGGTGTACGATGGTTACAACGACGAGGCGCCTGTTCTGCTAGACGCTTGCGGCATTGATGTGCCCGAGCCCATCACATCGTCCAGTAACGTAGTCAATATACAATTTTCAACCATGGTTAACACTGGCCTTCAGCGAGGCAACTGGTTCGCTCTTAACTGGCTCGAAATACCGAAAAACGTCGACGATATCTATACGGGAAATGTCTACAATGAACGTAAGTTCCAGTCAGTCGTTGACGTTATTTGATTAGCCCTAAAACTACTAAGATTTCGATCAACACTTGAAGTATCGAAATATCGTTGTCCAATTGTTTCATTTTGCTAAAAGTTATCTTTCGAGATAAACATTTATATAATGTAACACAACAAAATTTCGGATCTATAGTTTGCAGGAGATCTATTTGCTAAAAATTCTCACTTCTCCTCTTCTTTCCAAGCTAGAATTTTTTTCCATTTTTAAGAAAATTGCACAGAGATGCGTGGAATAAAAGTTGTTCGGTGACAAACAGTCTCGCGGAACAACAGACGGGACAATACTCGGGAAATTGCAGTCACTTCATAACTAATTTCTACTTTGAAACGTAACATTCTTAATCCTTCCAACGTAATCCTCTCGCGTTCTGCCAACAGTGTCAGAGTGCAACGTGGAAGTGGCTCTAACAGACGTGCAGAACAGTAGCTACGAATTCTCTTCGCCTGGCTGGCCGAACGGCTACGACAATAATCTTCGTTGCTCCTGGATTTTCATCTCTCCGCCGGGAACTCACTTGATGCTGAGGATACTGGCAATGAGCTTGGAAGAAACCAGCGATTGCGCGGCAGATTTCGTCGCCGTCTACGACGGGAACGCACTGGCGACCGAGAACAGCGCTACTTTGTTGCAGACGCTGTGTTTCTCGAATTCCACACAGTCGTGGATAAAGGCCAGCGACCTGATGACGGTGAAGTTCCAGTCGGACAGCTATCTGAACAAGACCGGCTTCAGCGCGTACGTCTACCGAGGTAACGCTGTTTTAAATACTTTTTTCGATCTGCTCTTTTATTGATCTGACACCGAATTAGCTCGAGGCTAATAATGGTATTATTTTTTGGAAGAAAATTGTTGTAAACTAGCCATTTATTTATTGGTTCCAATAGAATTAGATTCTAGATTCTAAAGAAACTGGTTTTTTTTTTTAGATCATTTAGTACTAGTGGAACAAGTTTTTCTTGAATTTTAGAGGAGTCATTTAATAATTATCGAGTTCTTCAAACTTTCAACCTTCAATGAGAAGAAGGCACTGAATTAATTTCTAATCAACTTGGAACTTCAACCTAACGATGTAGAAAGTTGTTCGTAGCATTAATAAAAATAAATAAAAATCTACATTAGAACTACACAACCTTTAAAAACAGACTAAATGTTATGAACAACGATCGATTAAAGATTTTAATTGTAACACTTTTACGATAGTCGAAGTGTATCGAACGTCAATTTGAAGAAAGCTGTAGACTTTTATCGAAAATTTAGCTATTTCGTTGGCAACAATCTGACAGAATTTTTATGCTTGTTTTCGAATACGATTCAGACTGTGGTGGTAAGATGTCGGGGCCAAACGGGGTGATCGAGATTAATAATACTACGTTGAGCAAAGGATACTTGCCACGTAGTTGGCAAGTTCTCTGCGAGTGGGTTGTCACAGTGAGGCCTGGACGAATGATAGAAGTGAAGGTTGTCGAGATTTCGATAGCACAAGGGCCCAGTTTCACATGCACCGATAATTACCTCATGGTAAGATTGGATTTACTTTGAAATATCTTTTCGCAATTCGAAATAAGAATCTAAAGCAGAGTGGTGGCTCATTTTAAAAATTATTTCGCGACGACGACACTGTTTGAACTAAAGTAATCGAAAAGCTCGTAAGATACTGAATACTCATCAATGTAATTTAATTACATTGTATTTCAATCGCGTAATAACTTGATCATATTCTAGTCACAAAACTGTTATATTCAAACTTTTAAATCGTTTTCTCCATTCCCCTCGATTCGAAATTCTGATTTAATTACATTGTACTTTGTAGTTACACCTCAAACGTAATTAGAAATTACATTCAAAATTAATTGAACGAGAGGCCCGGATTACGAATTACGTTGCAACTTAATTAAATGAGAATTACGGATTGAATTATTTTGTAATTGCTGTAGAATCCCTGGATCAATTTCTAAGTCCGCGCATAACAAGTTTTTGTTATTACAATAAATACGTTAATTTGTTTGAATTCTCGCTATAATATTTCAAGACCGATCGAAAACGGTACGTTGATCAATTCCAAAATTTGAAATTCACGAAATATTCGCGCTATCTCTTCATAATAAATAAATTCCTGACAATATGGTTCTTACGAGTCGCAGTCAACCTCGAATATTAAATACCACATCGTACTATATATAATTTATCGAGTAACTCAATTGTAATTCTACACGATTTCGAATACCACTTCAATACCTCGTTGTCTGTTCTCGTAGTTGAAAAATGGCGGGGAAGCGTCGTCGCCTTTGCTCGGTGTTGGAAAATACTGCGGTTCCGTGGCACCACTGCCCCTCGAAACCACCGGAAATCGCCTGTACGTGAAAGCGCACGGCGATCGAACCAACATCAAGTTCAAACTAACGTACAGGTGATCACAGTTATTTGTTAATAACGTCTCGCGACACGTTCGCACATTCAAAAAAATTCCCATCGTCGAATTTCGATGAATTCATATTCACAGGGAAGTGAGCACGAATTGCGGCGGCGAGTTCTATCTGTCGAACAAGCAGAAGGAATGGGAAATCAGCACGCCGAATTATCCCAACATACCGCCCCCGTATTCCGAGTGCACGTGGACAGCGATCGCGCCTGGCAGAGAAAGGATATTCATCCATTTCGTCGACAGATTCGACCTGAGCTCCAGCGTGAAGTGAGTCTTGGATGTTCGAACAGTTCAACTCGGGGTGTTAGGCCGTTCGAATTCTGCGAGCAATGAGAAAGAGAAACGGTTTGATTTGCAGTTGCGAGAAGGAGTACGTCGAGGTCAGAGACGGTGGAACCGACAGCGCTAAACTGTTTGGAAGATACTGCAAAGACGTGGCACCCAGCAGCATGATCAGTACACAGAACATGATGTACGTTCGCTTTTACACGGACGTGCCGGAGCCGAAGAACGGGTTCAAAGCTGTGTTCTCCATTAAGGGTATGGTTTTATATAAATTTTGTCCTCTTTCGTATGTTTTTCATTGTATTCGACTTGATAAATATACACAGTGTGTATTTATTGAAGGGTGAAGAATTCAGTCGAGAAGAAAGAATACTTTTTCATTTGCAGTTCTTTTTTTTTTCCTTTCTTGAGAAAATAAAGTTTGAGAGAGTTGTTCAATGCACTTGAATTCAACTAATTTAAAAATGACTGACACGAACGAATAATAAACGTAAATTTTATTCTTGCGTTCAAATTTCAAAAGGAGATAAAGTTCAAGTCGAGAAAGTTTTCAAGTTTAATTTTCTCGAAAACGAAGTCTTAAATGATCCACTCTTGTCGTCTTACGTTTTCACGCAAAGTCGCTCTCTAACACGTTTATGAGTTCAATGAATATTTTTGTAGACACTATTTATTTAGTCATTAACTAAGCTAATTCCAATACGCATATCTTTGGCATATTTTTCTAAAGTCTTGCGTCATTTTTATAGATTCCTGCGGTGGAATAATCAGAGGCATTGGCGGTATCATCTCGTCACCCAATTATCCGTTCTTTTATCCAAAAAATCAGACTTGCGTTTGGCGAATAATCGCTCCGGAAGATCACACGCTGAAATTCTCGTTTTTGGATCTGCAATTGCCTGGTCACCACATCTGCAAGGACTACGTGCAGATCACGGAAGTACTGCCGATGAATAAGAGTAAGTAGAAACAGACTTGTACGGGTCAGACTCGACGCGAACCAATCGCACTATTGGATACAAGAGTCTCAGTGATGAAAAAAATCGAGAAAAGACCTAAATCTATAATGTTTTATCTGTGTGATGTTACTTTATATAATATTATATAACACGTGTTATATATTAAATCTATAATATCAAAATGAAATGAAAATATAGCTCTCCAAGGTCTTTATTGGTATTTGCGTAACAATCGAAGAAAGTGTATAGTATTAAAGTGATATAGTCTCCTTAATTATTTAAATTCTAGTTTCATTAGAACTCTTTTGAATGTTGTCTGCAATTTTTTCCTCTCTCTGTTTCTTATCAGGCAATGAAATTGGAACGTATTGCGGCTTCCTGATACCCGACGTTATCGAAACGGCATCCAACGAAGCAGTAGTGACGTTCAAAAACGACAACATCAAATATGCAACCTACCGAGGTTTCAGTCTTAATTTCACCGCCAGTCAAGAAAGTGAGTAAAACGTGTAATGTTCCAAGTGAAAACGAAGCCACGATAAATAACGTATTGGTTGCAGTTTGCGGAGGTGAATTCACTGCGATGCAAGGCACGATCAAGTCGAATGGCTACCCCAACATTGCAACGCGTTCCCAGTACGTAATTGAAAATCGTTTGTACGAAGTCAAACTTTCTGTTATACTTGATCTTCTCTGTTTCTATTTCTTCGAAGCAGTTATTGCGACTGGAGAATTAAATTGCCGAGAGGGTATCACGTAGTCGTTGAGATACAGGACCTGGACATCATGCCTATGTCCGAGACGCGAATGTCGTACGCTTTGTCGGTAATTACCAACAAATTTCCAATCAGTTTTTCATTGTTTCGTGGCTATATAAAAAAATTGAAAGAGCAGATTGTAAAAAATATAATTTCTACTTGATGAATGCGTAACTATTTTAAAAGCTAGTTTGAGGAACTATTAAAACAAGGTATTCATTTTGTGTATTACAATATAAAAATATAATTCCTATTGACACATCATTCTTTACTAATCTTGAGATGTATTACATACATATAAATAATCTTAGAAAATATATATATATATATATATATATATGTATGTTTAATTCAATTTCTAATTTTAAACCTAAACGATCAAGATATAATTATTAATATGTATTCAGTTTAATATTAAATATTATAATATATATATTATAATATTATAATATTAATATAAATATTATAATATTAAATATTAATAAATATGTTTGATCTATTTGTATGTAATTATATATATATATATCTCAAGATTAATAAATTGAATACTATAATATAATATTCCTCTATCAATTAACTATAATTATACATCGATATTGTTTCCTTTTCTATTGCTTGTTCTTTTAATCTTTCGGATCGACATTGATTTATTATCTATATTAATTAACAGTATCCAACCAATTTATTATTTACTTGTTCCCTTGTCTTTTTCGGCAGTTCTACAACGATTTCCGCTTTAGATCCAGGATCAAGTTAATACGACCAAATTCAACCGATCGAGTAATAACGAGCTCGGGTAATACCATGATGATCGGCTACTATTCGTCACCAGGGTATCGTGGTTTCAAATTGCGCTACTATGCCGACGCGCCAGCTCGTATGTTCTCAAAAGCATCATTCTCTTTTATATTTCATTTCACATGTTATTTTGTTTTTATATTACTACATATGCATATGTTATTATCATTTTGTATGTCATCGTTTTCTTTCGATTATTATTTTATAGAATTATTTCTATTGTTTGAATCGAAATTATTGTCATCCGATGGACGATTCTATTAACGAAAGAAATTTCCAGCCTGCGGTGGAGAGATACACGAAATTAAAGGAAACCTGACGGCGCCAAGGAATCTGCCGTTCAACGAATCGTCATACTTCTGTCTGTGGAGCATACAAGCACCACAGAGTCTAGTAAACGTCAGCAACGTCGGACTGACATTGTCGATACGGGTAACTGGCGCAATTGGCGGAATTCTCGGCGCCTCCACCAAGTTTTGCTTCAATAACCAGTACATCGCTATAAATGGTAAAATTATTCATTTCCAACAAATTGTCACGTGTTCCAAGATTTTCATTTTGTTAATTTCATGAGAAGCTATTTCTCAAAATAGTATCAAAAGCCCTCTGTTGATTTTATCGGGAGGAGGATATTTAATATTTTTAATACTGGGGCATGAGCACTTTGTACATGGTTCAATCACGTAATAAAACTATTACGCACACTAATGCATAATAAATTTACTGAAAAGTAATCAGACTATAAATATAATATAATAGTTATTATGTTATACAGTTATTAAAGAATATACAGTTTAATATAGAGTAGAATTATGTAACAAACGTATCTCTGTTTTTTTAAGGTATCGGTATGATTTGTGGCAACTACTCGGAGCCAGTGTACTTAAGAAGTCCTAAACTAGTTAACGACTTGATCGTAAGTGCTCGAACGAAAGGAACGCTATGGTGTTGGATACATTTTTGCTAGTTTTGTCTGGAAATTTGCAGATAGTGAACGGTACTTATGGAAAATCAATGCGCTACAAGCTCGAGTATGAATGGCAGCCTTGCGGTGGCGTTCTTCGCGGGTTGTCACACGTGGTACAAGCACCCAAGAATATATCTTACCCCATTAATTGTGTCTGGCACGCGAATTATCCGGACAATGGTGAAATGATCAAGCTCCATTTCAACAGACTTCATTTGGGTGGCTGTGGCAAGAATTACATCAGTGTCAGGTACTTTGAAAATGAATGATTCATTACAAACGATTCATCTGTAACTCTGCTGAGTATTTTCTCGATAATTTACTTGTATTTCTCTATTTAAAAATATTTCAATTTGAATCGAAACATAAAGAGATCTCTGTCCTGGTACTCGTGATCTTTTGGTTGATTCAGTTTCATGTTATATATTTTCTTGAAATAATTTATATTTGAAATATAAAAATTTGAGTACCTTAGCAGACAGTCTAGAAAATACTGATGATTCAAAATATATAAAATTTCGAGATTCGTTGGAAGATAAATAATTACTGAAGATTGTCTGTGGTACGTTTATAAAATTTCTCTCGGATAATTAAAGATATATAAAATCTGTACCAAAGAACCCGAAATACAAGACACGCGAGAAAGTAAATAACGAAGGAAATAAAAAGGAAAAATTTGTCATTACGAAGGTGAAGAATTCTAATCACTCATACAGCGTTTCGATTTTAAAAAATTCCTTTGATACGTTTTCTTAGAAACGGTGGACCGTTGTCGCCAGAGATCGGCAGATTCTGCGGAAGCACTCAGCCGTACAACATCACCAGCACGTCTAATCAGTTGTGGATCGAGTACACGGCGGTGGATGATCCGAACGACTTCGAGTTCGTGCTAGAGCCAGCTAACAACGGATGCGGGGGCGCGATTCACGGCACCAGCCGCGAACTCTCGTCGCCCAAGTACGTGATTGCACGCGCGATTAATTGAAGAAATATTTGATCGAGCTCATTTATCGGTAATTTTATTACACGTGTCCACCAGATTCCCGGCGCAGTACCCGAACAACGCGGAATGCATCTGGGAAATAACGGCGGACAACGGTTACCACATCGGCCTGGTATTCGTTGATCGTTTCAATTTGGAGAGCAGCCCTAACTGCGAGAAGGATTACGTACAGGTGCGTGGGAAATTTGCATGGTAATGAAGTCCGTTGCACCGTGGCGATGAACTCGGCCCTCGGGTGTTAACATGAAAATTAACGGCACCGTGCGTGTTTGATTTTGTTATTATTGCTGTCCAACGAGAAATGGACGCGAAACTGATAAACGTGTAGCAAACAATATTACCTTTTGACGATTACATTTATTCATTGAAAATGTATGCCCCTGAAAGCGATGTGTGAAAGATGAATAAGTATAATTTTTAACTTATAACGAAGACTAATTCAATTATTGTGACGCATCTCTTTGATGATAACATTCCTATTAATTTATAGATATCATCTCGGACTGTTGTATAATTTCAAGAAGCTGAGTGAGAAATAATTTTAGATTAAATTCTCTTTGTTTTTTAGTAGCTTTTAGTGCCTCAATATGATATGATATATCTAAATTTTTCTAAAAGTTCTTGTTTTTTTGGCTGCTAATTTTGAGAGGCCATTTTAATAATATCTCCAGTGACTAAGAAACACGAAAACGTAATTGGAAGAACTTACTTTATGTTCAAAAACAATATTATATTTGTTTATATTTATATAAACAAGTCATATCTCATATTTTAATTTCTTAAATTTTATTTATTAAGTTCTTCTATGATGCACGCTTTTCTGCCTTTTTTCTTTTACGAATTTACATTTATAACATGAATGTAATCTGCCATAAATAACGTCAGCCACTACACGAGATGTTTCATAATACAGAATTATGAATATATTTCATCGTGAGAATATTTCTTCCGGCACAGATATTCGACTGGGTGAAAGAAACAAACGGATTATCCGAAATGTGGAAGGATCTCGGGAAGGTGTGCGGCAGAGACACGCCGCCAACATTCAATTCGACCAGCAATCGCATGAAAGTGATGTTCCGTTCGAACGAGGCGATACAGGGTGACGGATTCCGCGCCGTTTGGCACGAGAACTGCGGTGGAATTTTCGAGGTCACCCATCACCGAAATATCATCACGTCGCCGTCGTATCCGAATTTCTACCCGCCGAACTTTTTCTGCAATTACACACTGGTGGCGCCAGGCAAGAGCATCATAATCAAGTTCAAGGAATTCCAGATCGAACACAGTAAGTGCTGAAGCAACGAAGTTGTATGCAGACGAGCGATCAACTAACTAACCTATTAACCCTTTAGCCGGAATTTCATTTACTTGAGGGTGATTATGTATTTCTGGGTAATTTGAGATTTCTACAAATCTGTCGAATGCAAAATGTACCCACACCGTTCCGAATTAAACGTGACAATTTCGTTTCAGAGTGGAAATCTCTTCAGCGTTATTTAATTTTTATTTCTATTCCGATTCTTACTAGGAATATTTGTAAAAATATCAAATTGCATAAACATACGTATGAGGAAAGAAATGTTAAAATCTGGATAATAACTCACATATTGATGAAATACAGTAATAGAGATAAGTATAGAAAAAAAAAAACCACCAATATCCAGATATTATGGATATTTCAATTTGCTTCAAACTGCTCGGAGCATAAATTATTATTTAATATTACGAAACGTGACAAACATGATTGAGACTAATCATGAGATATTTCTGTTAATCGAAGATCACAAGGAATGCCGTTTCGATAACTTGACGATCAAACACGGCGATGGATACTCGACAGAGGAAAACATTTGGTGCGGAGAGAACAAGCCACCTATGATAAAGTCCTCGGACAGTGCAGAGATTATCTTTAGAACCGATCAATATATTCAACGAAGTGGTTTCATATTTGAATACTATATCGATGGTACGTATTAAAAACGACATCGTCAACGAATTATACATATTATAAGTAACATCGTCGAAGAATTAACTTTCGATAAAATTTCGACGTCGTTTTTATGTTTCTCTCGAAAAGATTGCGACGGAACGATAACGCAGCCTGGAAAAATTGAAAGCTTATTGATCGGTGGCTCGTACTTCGGAAAAATGCAGTGCGTCTGGAAAGTCCAAGCACCTGCGGACAAGAGTGTCGTTCTTCGTTTCGAAAGATTCGAGCTCGAGTACAGCTACAGGTAAGTACTTGACATTCCACGATGCACATCATAAACACGATTTATAATAAAACTGATAGATAATATTTTGTAGATGTGTGTTCGATTCCGTGAGAATCTACGAAGGTTTGGATGCAGTGGAAACGAACAGACTGGCCATACTGTGTGGAAACTTGACGAAACATTTGCCAATCTTTAAGTCTAACTCCAATTCGATGCTGATTACGTTCGTCACCGATGACAGCCGCCATTACCCTGGCTTCTCCGCAAACGTAAATGTTCACACAGTCTAGACATTTTTTTTCAATTCGAACTTTCCATCTTTCTAATTATTTTACAACTTATTTCTCTCGTGATGTCTCAGGTGCTGTTCGTAAAAAACGCCGCGGCAGGTTGCGGCGGTGCGATTCATTTATTCACCGCTCAAAGTCAAACGTTCAGGACTCAAAAAGACGCGACGTATGACAGTATGGAAGATTGCCACTGGAACGTGAGAGCATCCGAGGGAAAGAATATCGTATTCGTTATCAATAGCATGGACATTCGAAACGCTACTAACAAAAGTGCCACCGGTGACAACGAGTGCACGGGCGATTTTCTCGAGGTAAAACTTTGCTTCCTATATTAATTTTTTACATGAGATGTAAAAGAAAATAAAATATAGAGGATTTTTTTTTCAAATGAGAAGAGTTTGAAGATTTATCTATTCGGATTTTAGACAAAAGAGTTAGTAAAAGAGAAATGAAAAGGAAACTTTGGATTTCAATTCTGTACAAGCTAAGAGAAGAAAACTGTTCACGTATTATGTGAAGAACCTCTAAAATTTTTCAACTATTTTCACAAAATGATCGAAGAAATTCTTCATATTGAATATTGGATAAAAAATTGAAAGATACGTCCTCGTTTAAAAATTTCCAAAGATATGCTATGTCTATTTGTTCTAAAATTTTACACAATCTGTAAAGCGTACGATTAAAAAATACTGAATATTGAAGATAAAAAGTGTTCTAAAACTTTTCGAGTGCGAGTGTATAGATATCTTATGTCGTATTTTCAATTTTTCCTTCACATCGTTCAGGTTCGCGATGGCGCTGGACCTCTCAGTGAGCTTCTCGGAAGATACTGTGGCAACCAACCACCGCCTCCAATATTATCCAGCAGCAACGCTCTTTGGATACGATTTGTCAGCGATGGGACATTGGAGGGAACTGGAATCGTTGGAACGTTGGAGACAGTAAATTGTAAAATCAATTGAACATCTAATAATTAACTCCTCGAGTGCTTATTAATAAAAATTAACACTCACTTTAAAATTGGAAATTTAAAAGTTCAATACTCTCTGATGGGGAGCATATAACAAATTATGAATACATTCATCATTAAATAAATACTAATTGGTACATACATTTATCGTGCATATATTTTATAATATACTAATACGTTGCTCTCTTTGAACTTCTAAAAACTACATAATTATTAGATAAAGAAATAAAATCTAATCGCATCTATAATATATTATATAATATATTATATTATATTATATTATATTATATTATATTATATTATATTATATTATATTATATTATATTATATTATATTATATTATATATAATATATCATATTATATTATAATAAACATTCTACTTTAGGCATTTTACTTATTATATTCTGTGCATTTATATATATTCTGTGCATTTTTGCATTTTCCTGATACTAAACTACATTCAAAGTAGCTTAATCGCTTAATCGCGAGAAAATATTCGAAACTTAACGATCGCCTGATTCTTTTTTTAGCGTTATGTGGCATCTCCGTTCTTGAAGCGAACGACACGAAACTTGTACTGACCTCGCCGAATTATCCAAACAATTATGAGCCTGGTACAAGGTGTCGTTGGACGATACGCTCCGACGATATGTACACCGAGAGACTAAGGATACGATTCTTAGAGTTCGACGTGGCTGGCTCTCGCCTGTGCGAAGATGATTATCTTCAAATCACGGACAAAAGGGTAATTTATTTAAGATCTGATTTATTCAGTAGAGAAAGATCGTTATCGTATGTCGTCATGAGAGGATGTTTATACAGAATCGAAAGTATATCGAGCAGGGCTACGGCGAGCAATTCGTTTGGGCTGGAAACTGGGACGACACATATTACAGTTCGGTAATGAAGCTCTTTGATTACCTATCTTTCGTTGGAAATTACAAATAAATTCTTGCAGTGTTTGAGTGAAAATATAAATGCTAAGCGTGGAGTAAAAGAGCACAAAATTAAAATTAAAAATATAGAAAAATACAAAACTGCAAATTTTTATATTGAGCTTTCTCTAGTGTATATTTTTATAGTTACTGTTTAAAATGTAGAAAGGGTAAAGAAAACAGAGGGATCGACACAGACGAATAGATGTTAACAAATGATTCTTGCCTTTATTTTTCAAACAGTTACGGTGTACTGAATTTTGTTATTATTTATTTACTTATTTATTTATAAAATGGCCTGAGTCCAATAAAATAGAAAATATATGAAAAACATAAATGGATATGATAATATCAATTAAATTCAGAAAAAACAGATTGCAATTCAATATTTTCCGTCTGAGACCATTGAAAACATGATCTACCATTCACGTAAAAATTTTCATTTTCTTGAATCACATCACGATATTTATCCTGAATATAATAATGCAACACGCAGCTTGTCATTTCATTCGTTTTTCAATTCCATTTAAAGTATAATAAAAAATGAAAATAAGAGATTGAATCTTACCTAACCGCGAGAATTTATTTGTAATAAAATTTAGATATAGAAAAAGAATAGAATAGAAATATTATTTTGAACTTAATTGAACAATTTATAGGCCAGTTTCGCAGCAACCGCTTCGTGCAGATACTGCAGCAACAAATTGCCTCATGATTACTACAGGTAAATGACAAACGACTAATCAAATTGAACTCGAGACATTAAACCTGTAATCTTCCTCGATGCAGTTATAGCACCGAACTGGACCTGACGTTCAAAGGTTCGAGTACTGGTCACAAAGGTTTCAAGCTCGAGTACAGCAAGGCGAACTGTGATCAGAATTTCACTGCAGAGCAAGGTCGAATCGTGCACGAAGGTTTGAACGACTGTTGGATCACAATAACAGCCTCTGAGAATCACACGATTTCTCTTTACTTTAACCAATTCTCGCTCTACGATCCGAACGAGTGCACGGAGAACTCCTTACAAGCAAGTGTCCCTCTTTTTATTTACGTTTCTCGCAAAATCTATATACCTTTAATAAATATATTATTAAAGGTATGTTATGCTTTCTTATTTCGAAATTTCATTGGCAGTATTAGCACACTCAACTATCGCGATTATATTGGTGAGATTTTAAACGATTCTCAAAATATAGGCAAAAGTCAGAAAATATTTCGTTTCGTAGAGATCATAAAAATGTTTAAATAGTACATATTTAAAATGATGATATACGAAATTTGATAATGTATATATATGTGCGTGTGTATGTATAATGTTTTTTATATACAATGGCAGACAAAAGTATTCGTATAATTAGTAAAAAAAACCTCATTATAACTAGGAAATATATAATCTTATTTTTTATACTTTATTTAAATTTATATAAATTTAAATTTTATATAAATTTAATATATCACATTGTTCTAAGTTTTTATTTAAATTAATTAGTAAATCACGGAATGTAAACTATATTGATGTTGTCTGAGATTTTCTGATACAAAAATAGCGTTCTAGTGTTAACTAAATTTCAAAATTATTATTTAATTATTATTCTGTATAGTATGCACAATAAAAATATACATATATAAAAACTTTCTGCTGATAAATGCACGAATACTTCTGCAAGCCACTGTGTAACATTGTCTGACTAAAAATTCTGTTTCTACTTGATCGTTCGCCCGCATTTAGGTGTACGATGGTGATTTCAACGGTAAATTAATGGCGTCATTGTGCTCCATGGATTTGCCTAGTCCTATTTTCAGTACCGGAAACAAGCTGAGTTTACATTCCCGGTCCCAATATCACAGTAGGTACGAGTTCTACGATATCACGTACACCACCACGGCCTCAGGTAAGAACAGAGTATATTTGACATTAGTACACAGTAGCGGCCAATAGTTTGAGCATACTTTTTTGCTGTATTAAGTATTTCATGCTTGTAATTAAATTCAACCCATTAACCTTCAAGTGGATTTTTAAGTTTAATTTAATAATTGTTGTTTGTATTTAATTTATCCCGAATTTAAACTAAAATTGAATTAAAATTATTATTTTAAAATTAAACGCAGAGATCGCGAAAGTTCGCGTAAAAATTAAAGACGAAACATTTCATTTGCAATTTTTATGAAATTCCAATTGTTGTAGTATGAAAGGAAGTTCTGAGAATTGATTTAATATTTTTTCATCTGCCACGAGTTTATGAAATTTAAAGAAAATAAATTTATAATAATAGTGGCTACGCTGTGCCACAACAGAAAAGTTTACTTCACACGCAACTACAGTACTAAAATACTCTAGAAAAGTCAATATTGATACTGGAAACATATATTGATATTACGAGATCTATTTCACATAGAGAACATGTTCTTAAACATTTGACCAGTAACGTATCACTGACCAGTGCGTTGTGTTTGAGAATTGGTCCTTGAGTACATTAGAAAATAGACAAAGATTTTTACGACGTAAAAAACATCGTGTGTAGAAAGAGCGAGTAGGAATGATTGTTTCGCAAGTTTCTTCTTAAGAATTCTGCTCAAGATTCGAATTAAAAACTGACTGTCTATAATACTATAGCAAATGCTTCACTAAGTGAACCAAAATTTGTTTACATCTCTCGAAAGTTTAGAAATTTATTCAATTTTCCTGATCTTTGATAATTTCTAAACCTCCATAAATGTAACTAAAGAGATAAAATAAAAATTTGTTTTATTTGCTAAATATTATAATAAATTACGATCAATATTTTACGTTAGATATTTTATATACTTTTGCGTATTATACGTATTGTATGCAGTTTTGCAACATCTAGTTTTTCATAAATGACTAAAAATACGAATAATGTGACGTTAATTGTTAATTGATGATACACAGATCGTGGCTGCGGAGGTCGAATATTTAATTACGCTGGATCGTTTACATCACCCCTGTACCCTAACGAATATCGCAATATCTCGACATGTTTATGGGATATTACCGTGCCAACTAGCATGAAAGTCGCCGTGCAGTTTCCGGTATTCGATATCGGCACGAAAAGCACCTGTAACTATAATTACAACGTCGTGTTCATATATGACGTCACGACGGATGGAGAGGCCGTTCTTGCCAATACTTATTGCGGAGGGGTAAATTCAACGTTCAAATATACGATTAATTTTTTAACCTTGCTTCCTATTGAGTCTATATGATACGAAATAGATATTTAACAGTTATTATTAAAATAGTTATACGCTCCCACTTAAAAGTTTGAAGCATCTGTCACATACTTTTGAACTTCTTCGTACATTTTTCTGAGAAACTCTGTTAAAGATAATTAATGAAAATTTCAGTAGTATAAAAAGATAATACTTGTGAATATTTATTTACTATTTAGTTATTTCTATCTTTAATTAAAATTTCAACACTATATGGGAAGATACAACGTGATAAAGAAGTGAAGTAATTAACAAAAGCGAAATGATGATTTTTTTTCATTTAATTTCTATTTTCTTTCATAGGACCAACCAGCACCGTTCGTAGCCACTAGCAACCGGATAATAGTGAAGTATATTTCATCGATGAACAACGTTGGAACAGGTTGGAGGGCGACATTCGAGGGTCGAGTCCAGTAAGAAAGAGGATCAAGAAAAAAGACAAAAGAAAGTCAAGAGAATGATTTATAAAAATATTTCTTCCTTTATCGTAAAGTAGTATATTTATATTGATGCGCTTTAAAGGCAATTAATTGTTCGAAAATGATATGAGTAGTTATTTGTAAATAATGTAATATTTGTACGATGTGAAGACAAATAAAATGAGATTTCGTACAACGTGTTTTGTTATAACTCGTCGAGATCGAGATGTGAAAAGAAAATCATAATCTTATTGAATAAAACTGATCTGTTCAGTTTATCAGTCCGTTACAGAACTCTTAGTACTATAGCAATGCTGTTTCAATTCTAGCCGTATATGAATTATTCTGCCATGTTTGTGAAATACATTGAAAAAAGTGGTTAGATTTAATTACAAATAACTTCCTACAGAATTGAAAATGTTTAATCATTCTCATAAACTTAAATTCTCATTAAATTTAAGATTTTTCAGACTTTAATACTTTATCGCATACACTATGCAATAGTATTTATGCACATGATTATACACTTACAATTTTGATATTATTTATAATTAAATGGAATCATTTTTGCAACGTATTTCACAAATTTCTAATACATTGCAAAAGAACAAATATCTTATTTTTAAAACGAATGATTTACTCCTGTCTTTGATAAAAGTGTTTTCCGTTGAGATTACTTCTTGTTACGAAATGGGTCTCATGTTAACTGTCTCTATTCCAATAACAAACATCATCATTTTCAAATGTTAATTATTATAAATTCAACGACCTTCTCGATATTCCATTAATGAAGCACAGATGATAAAATACGAAATTTTCATAAAAATGCATGTATAATAAACCATCCGAATCATCACGCTTCGTTGCAGTCATCTTTCGCGCAATTCTCGTTCTCTATTTCTGCAGGTTTCGCCACTGAACAACTCTTCGCCTTTCCATTTGCTGCATTTTCCTCCTCTGCTGGCTGAATTTCCAAATTCTCCTCCTCGTTCTTTGAGATCTCTCGTCTCTTTCTGTTTTTCTGTTGCTTGTTTTTCTCAGCCTTCCTGTCCTTCTTTTTGTCCTTCTTCGACACCGATTTCGTTTTAGGTTCTTCTTCCTTCTCTTCTGTCGGTGCTTCCTCCACTTTTTCCTCCGCCGTTATCTCCTTTTCTTTCTTCTGAGCCTTCTTTCTTTTGCCTTCCTTCGTAGCTCTCTCAGACTTGGTCACCTTTCCACCTTCTACCTTCTCACTCGTCCTCTTTTCATTCTCCAAGTTGCTCTGCTCTTCTACGTTCTTCCCTTTCAATTTCTTGTTCTTCAATTTCTTCGCATCTCCCTGGTGAACCTCCTGAGAGCTGCCAGAGTGCTTGTTCCTCTTCTTCGATTCGTGTTTTGACTTGACGGCCTTCGGATCAACGTTCTCCTTCTCCTTCAGTTTCTTGTTCCTCGATCTGTTTCCTCCTTTGCCCGACTCTTCGTTCTCAGCGGCACTCTCCGAGTAGCTCTCTACGTCGTTCTCTTCCGACGCACTGTTCTTCCTCTTCCTCGATTGAAGCTTCTTGTCTTCGCCGGTCTTCCTTTCCCTGAAACAACATAAAAACCGGCATCGTAGCAAAATCTCGCCGCGGAAAAATTGCAGCAGAAGCTGCACGGGTCCGTCACCCGTGACAAGATAAGGACCAAGAGCGGGAGCAAAACAGTTGCGTAACCGTCGCCATCGACGACGAGCGAATGTAGAACTTCGATCGCATCTTAATTGCACTTTTTCAACACTCACTTCGAATACGCCACGTCCCTCTTCTTTTTCTCGTAGCCACGCTTCGATTCTACTTCCTTGCCAGGTTTCTTCGCCAACGTCTCGGACGCGAGCACCGCAACGATCAACAGAAGAGTAAATAATATCCAAATCCTAAAGAACGACCAACGAATTAAAACCTTCTTGTCGTTAGAGCGGAATCTTTCTTAAGATGTGAGTTTTGGTCATAGCGTAGATTATTCAGCTGAATGTCAAGTTAAATCGGAACAGAGCATGCGTAACGTGGCTCTATCGCCGACTGGGAATTTAATTTGTTTCGAACAAGCTATCGGATTAGATCAGCGTGGAATGTTACTCTGCTAACTATAATCTAGTTCGTTTCGAACAAGAAAAAAATGAGACAGTTTCAATTACTCCGTGTCTATTATAATTATTTTTTTTTTTCGTTACAATCATCCAACTATTCAGACTGACGAAACAAAACGAAATTGTTCGAAATTATTATCTAAACTCGTTATTTAGCTGATCAGTTTCTCCGTTCGATATATTTTCTCGGCAAACTGAATAATCAATAAGATCGTAAAAGCTACGTTAACACGCGCAATTAGAACCGCGAAGATGTTCTTCTCACCGCATGTCTGCTTCTTGATTCACTCTCGAGGACCACTCTTGAAATTCCGACGATAACACGTATCGGGTCTGAAGATCGCGTTCAATCGAAATCGAAATCCAGCACAACACTGACTTCTGTACGCTCCAGCTCTCTTATATCTTACGCTCTTCGTTGATATCTTGATAAACAGGCTCGCAGCATGACGCCCGAGCGCGGTCCGTGAATGGTCTCCGCGATATCAGTACATGCATCAGCAAGAAATCGATCGCCAATACGTGGACGAATAGTTGTGCACGAAATTCGCAACGCGTGAAGTTCGAAGTTCGAGTGGAGCCGAGCTCTTCCTCGTTCCATACCACGTTTCGTACTACGTTCTTGACCTAGAACTACTCGGTGCCTGAAATAGCAGACCCATTCGGGTTCCACGCTTGAAAACCCTCTCTCCTCAACTTCTCCCTGGACTTTTTTTGTTTTTCTTTCCGTAACAACCGGTTGAACGTTTTCACCAACGCGAGACGAGATACCTATTTAGGTCGGTTGGTATCTAATCTTCGTACTTGCGATGCGTCTGACGTCAACGACCACTCAATGAACAGAACATTGTATGTACGTGCATTGTGACAAACAAAGTGGTCGTGTCGTAGGTAATTTCGAAAATTACGATGACTCGTTTCATTGACGTACACGCGTAGATTGTCTTCCATGTAGACTGAACTACTGTCAGGCTTGATCTGCACTAACAGATTCGTAATTCATTCGCGCTCTCGGTCAAATATTCTTCTGAACACAATTTAATTTAAATCCTATTCGCGTGCGATTTGAGCCGGACGGTGTCTATGGTTATATTTATATTATATTACACTAATATAAATATATATTATAATATATTATTATTTATATTATATTATATTGCATCGTGAACTTAGTATGTTTCTCGCGCGCTTGAGATATCAAGCATCTACGCATTTATTTTACGAGATATTCTGTGTTTTTTGATAAAACTGTAGGTGATGCTTGTTACACAATTACGCAAACACTCATTTCACGGGGAATCGTAAATTTTGCCAGTTTTTGTCAATCGGTTTTTTTTCTTTTTTTAAACAAACGAGTTGCCTAACAATTTACTTTCTGCAACGCGATATCTCTCCTCCATGAATACCTGCGGCAAATATCGCCGCGATACCTTGAACAGATAAAAACACAATCTCGTTCTCTCTTTTCTCGGCTGTTTATCATGTTCCGTAGGTCGTTTGCATCACCCTTATCATTCGATTATTTTTTTCCATCTGGAAAAAAATTGCGCTTTCCACGTCAACGTGTATTTGACGATCTTTATTATTCGATTTATCTTAGGAACGACGAGCGATAATTCCAAACAATTCTTGATACTGATCGATTTAATGACAAAAATGATGCAAACAATTATTACTGATATTGTTTGAAAAATAAAGGCAATGGAAGAGCCAACTTTCGCTCACACGCTTTCACTTTTCGTTTTCTTCAATCAGCGGATGTCTCAAGTGGTGTTCTCGGAACCCCAGTCGCTTAGCCTTCGAAAAACCAAAAATTCTTTCTCAAAAAAAAAAACCAGATCCTGGGCATTTCTCGCTACTCGGCTAATCCCGATACCTAGAGTATCATGAAGCAATCCTTGAAAGGAGCGGATTTTAGATATTCCTCGACACTTGGAGTGTCGTAAATTAGAATTTCGTGCAAAACCACGAACCTTCCTGGTTTCTGGACTTTGTCGACCGAGACGAATCGCATGTACCGAGGTAAGGCACGTCTTCGGCAGGCCTGTGCGTAAACGCAACGTGGTACCAGATTGTGGCCTTGAGTTCCAAGTTTGAAGCGGCACAAGCTCGAGCATCGTCCAATTCGTTTCGAACAACCCTCGAAATCACTTCGGCAACATGGTGTTAACCGTTTGTGAAGTGCAACCATTTGTTTTCTCTCTTGTGTGACCACGGTCAGAAAACGAGCAAACTTCAACAAATAACGCTCTCTCTCTGAGTTTTAGGCAAGAACTTCGACGTTCACCATAGCCAGCAGTTTGGTTGCGCAGAACGTGGTCAGGAAATATAATCATTTGTTAACATCTATTCGTCTGTGTCAATCCTTCTGTTTTCTTTACCTTTTTACATTTTAAACAAATATTGATGGATCTGACAGCAAAAATTCCACAGGATTGACATAGACATTAGGTCATGTGATACAATTAACTAAATGACTGTCAGTAATTTTTATGCAGATTTATGAGATGTTGCAGAAATGTACACAATACACAAAAATATATAAAATATCTGCAGTAGAGTATTTATTATACAGATAAAACAAATTTAATTTTTTTTTTTTTTAGTTTTTATATCTATAAAAATTTTAAAATGCATCAAAATCATACATACAGTGGAAAGTTTATATTGTTCATGTACATACGTGTCTTTAATTACTTTAATATCTGATCATATAGATGAAATTAAAGATAAACGCCAGAGAGATAAAATTTGCGGTTGTATATCCTATAAGTCCAAACGTGGAAACACAAAATTTGTGCTATGTCTCTGAATTTTTTTTTTATAATTTTACTATAATTTTCTATTATATTATAATATTAATTTCACTATAATTTTAATTTCATAATATATTATAATTTTAAATTTATAGGCATATTGTTCATTGCATATATAACTTATATAAAAATATTTGTGTTTATTATTCTATTTATTTAAATTTATTTATTGAACTTGATACATGCGGACCTGGCTACTAACATTCTAATAATATCAATAGATCATTCTAATAAGATCATAAGATCAAGGATCAAGGAAGAGAATAAAAAAATTAAAAGTATAGATGTAGACAAACATGTAATAAAATTAAAAAAAAAAAAGATTTCACAAAATATTGAATAAATACCACATTTGTTTGATGTTCGAATTTAGTTCTAAAAGTCCGTACATCTAATTTGTACCTAATAAAATTAAAATGAAATAATGAATAAAGTCAGTAAGGTTTGACAATCAAATACTGCAATATTTACTGAAATTATATGTAATCATATATTTTTCTCATTTGTTTATATAGTATAACTGTATCAATAATTCGTGCCATGGATTTCGTGGCGATTGATCGATCTGATTAAACAAAATGGCATGTTGTTTCTTTAAAAAGGATAAAAAAAAAAAAAACACTCGCAGACCACCGATATTTTCAAAATCATCGATGATTATCGAGATTATGCATGCTGCATGTCATGTTGCGCACGGCGCGTCCATTCCATTTTAAATTACAAACAATTCCGAAATTATAATTTCAGATCATGCCAATGGCACACGAGAAACACGAGAACGTGCACGTAGATCATTCGATTGAAAAATAAGAGGCAAACCGACTGTTTTCCATGTGCATGTACGTGGCTCGTGTTTATTTTGTACGCGTACTAATGCGAGGGCTCGTTTTTATTGTAAGTTTCTGCGCAATATATTATCTTTTTAACTCTTTTTGCGCGACATACATACGTAATATATAATTTTTTACTCGCTCCTTACAGATTATTAAGTATCCGTGTGTAACTTAAAGTACTTACAAATAACAAAGAGAGAAAAATATGGCTAACTCGTATCTAAACAACGCCGATATAAAAATAATTAAAATTACAATACTAGAGATACCAGTATACACCTGATAACGATTGGAATTATTAAACGTCAGATTGAAACTACCTTTAACAGACCACAAAGAATTTCCCGCTTTTGCGTAACATTTCTTTCTCCTTCGTTTCTTTCGATTGTGTAAATGGCGAATTTCGTTTCGTGAAATGTGACTAGTTGTTAACAGAGTGAGACAAAACGTAATGAAGTTAACTTATCAAAAAACATAAGTACCACTTTAACAAGAAGAAACGAGAACCCGTGGACTAATAGCAAGGCATCGATTAGTGTGTGTATATATATATATATATGTGTATGTAGTTTCTTTTGTCCTTTTTTTTTCATCTTACACACTGCACTATTTCTATTCTACGGTGTATTCGACGTCGACGGCACACCCATCAACACTGTCTAACATAAGTACAAATAATACGAAATTCTTAGAAACATTTTTTTTCCCCTTACATCTAATGATGCGTTTATTCATCAAACGAATGTTCATTCGTCCACTATTTTGACCAAATTTTGTCCTTGAATTCACATCGTTGTGTTTGTTAAACGAATGTTAATATAATAAAAGAGCACGAATTTCTTACCATTTTGGGGGATGAACATCGTTTGGTTTAAACACACCATAACAGATTAATAAAATATCACCGGCAAAGTTGTAGAGAGAAATTACTTATCATGATAATCTCGTGATTATGGGTGAACGAGTTCACGAACGAATAACTTAGAATTCGTTAAAGCACTTTGTGACAACGATGGAAGAAAAACAGAACAACTAATCCCCACGGTTAAATCGTCGTCAAGTTGCAACTACAGAGAGAATTATTTTAAAAAAATACGAGTACAAGAGCAACGGTTTTCAAATGATTAGACAAGCTTGTATACTCTTCCACAAAAATTTGGAAGGCGCTTTTCATTTTTTAGGTGAAACAAGCTTCTTCGTTTCTTATTTTTTCAAGACACAAAAATATTATAATAAATTTATATTACATATAACTAATAGAAAAAAATAGTACTTAATTGAAGAAACAAATAAATATTTATTTATTATGTATTCAAGCTTTAAAAATAATTAAGTAGAATTTAAGCATTAGATAATGTTATAAATAGAATATTCATTTACTTGAAAAAGTGGCTATTTCTGTTAAAATCTTAATATACCCTAAATTTTTCAACAGAAGTGTATATTACTTCTGAATCTTCAAAAAATTAGCAATCTCAGTCTTTTGTTCGCAAGAACTTCGATTCGAGACGAACAAAAATTTCTAGGGTGAAAAATTTTAATTTTAAATTAATTAACTAATTAAGACGATTGCTCTGACTCTGAAAACTTTTGCTCCGATGCTTTTACGAGATCTATTACACTCAAGATGGAGAATACGAGGGAAAAGTTTGATCACAGAGATGATACGCGAACAAATGATCACTTATGACCATAAGAACCAAAGCTAGAACCTTTCACCCTGGCTCAGGACTTTTCACAAAGTGTGACGCAAGAAGAGGCGAAAAACGGAGTGTTTGCGCGTTTTTAGATACATTCTCATAAAAATATTCTTTGAATCGTTACAACGTACGTTACCCTGAGTGCTATATATCATTTCTGCCTCGATACTGACCAACTACCAACTCTATTTACATAGATACAGAGATATTACGAAAAAAATAGACATATTTCGCGCATGTATGTGTATATATATATATATATATATAATCTTAGATTGCCTTTGTTTCGAGATTTCAGGGAGAAGTATTCATAGTTGACTGAAATACGAGACACAGCTCATGTGCTTTCTTTTTTTGTTGAACGTCAATTGCGTTACGCTTCCTCGTAAGTATCTGATCGAGATTTGACAATTTTCCCGTTCTTTTCAGGAAATTCGTTCAAAAGCTGAGAATCTTCTTGAACAGATTGCGGATATTTCTGATCGGGATAGTTCCACGCTTGGATATCACCCGTACCGAAAATCTGGTAGACGATATAAGTGCCACATGCGACACACGCACTCTCCAAGAATACCTGTCTCCATGCGTCGAGAGTTTGCTGTGAAACGAATTCCTTCGTTATTTTCACGCACCAGAGTTCATTATTGCGGATATCGTGCGAGGAAAAGAGGTTTGATTTCTTCGTGAGTAGGTTTGCATGATGAATAAGGAGGATTGCAGTTTATGAATAAATATATCAAAGAGTTGCAAAAATGCCCCGGATTACACATAAAGTTGTATAAAATATTCAAAGTGGAGTAATCGCGATATTTCCATGCAAAATAATTAGAATATTGACGGATATTGTGTGAGGAAAATTGGTTTGATCTCTGCGAATAGAGTAATTGCTAGTAATAAAATACAGTAGTTGCTGTATTTCCATGCAGAAGGATTGATCACTGGGAAGAAAATATGTATACTTAATTTCTACGTGAGTAGAAATCTTTTTATAAATATACGATGAACATGTAGGATTTAGAAGCGTGAATAAATTAAGAGAATATTTATGATTATAATTAGGATTACATGCAAAAATACATAAAACATTTAAAGTACTAAGGATCGATTATTGATTATGAGTTTTTATAAGTATATGCTGAATATAAAGATTTAAAGCTTATAAATAAACTGCCGATGTTCGTGCATTAAGTATATTCAAAATAAAATATTCGCCGTAATATTTAATAAAAAAAACGTTTTCGATTTATAAAACTATGAATTTATATAAACATCCGACAGTTTATTTGCGGGTGAAAAATTGCGGTTTATAAATAAGGAAAAGTTCAAGAAATATAAAATATAAATAAGGAAAAGTTCAAGAATATAAAAATTAAACACTCAATTATTCATCACATGAAAAGGATTATATCATTTAAAAACATGTTCAAGATTGAAGTATGATTATTCATCTCATAAAAAGGAAATTTATTTAATTTCCAAGGAAGTTGCAATGAAAATGAAAGAAAATATTTACTCACGCTTTTTTCTATGAGGAGACCAGCCACGGCCGGAGATAAAAAACTGGCTGTCATGTGAATTGTCTGTGCGAACGCCAATATTGGACCTGTTCCGATAGATAACACGATGAAGAGACATTTTACAATTAATAATTCGTAGCACTGATATTTTGTCACTTACCAGCAAAATTTGGCGCGATATCGACAATGCTCGCCATCGCCCCTGCGTATGCAGCAGTAATCAGTGTAACAGCTATGAACCACACTATTAAAACGAGAACAATATCGCAGCCTAAGTACCCGATTAACACTAACATTATTCCAGGAACTACTTGTGCTGTAAAACAAAAAAATTCCAATGTTAGACAAATTATAATAAAGAAACTACGGATTTTTATGCAATTCCATATGTTTGTGAAAACAATTTGAAAAGTAAAAACTTCGTTTCATCTATATCAATTCTTCGAGGTATAAATTTTTATAGCAAAGAAAATTCTACAGTCCAGTGATAAAATAGTTTTGAAATTTCAACTGGATTTCATATGATACGTACAAGAGGCGGTGAACACCTTCCTAACGTTCGTCAGTGACAAAATTTGTCGCGTGACGAGGACATCAGCTATATAACAGAAGGCAACAGAGCTGAAGTAACTACAGATGAACGGTAAACCCGATAGCACTCCATTCTAAAATAGCAACGAAAGTTATCATCAGAAAACAAACGTAATATTTTAAATACATATATACCGCTTGGATGCTGAATCCTAGAACTGTCTTCATGTACATTGGTCCAGAGATGATGAAGATATAATGCACCCATATCCTTCCGAATGTAGTAATCCCGATAGACCACACTGGCCAGGATTTGAGAATGGAACCCCATGGGACCGGCATGCTCTTTGAATAACAAAAATTTCAGTCAATTAAACGCAAGTTTGAAACTGCCGTGAAAAGCTACAAGCTTGAAAGAATATTAGCTTGTAATTAGAGAAATAAGCTTCTTCGTTAAAAACTTGTCGAGATAAAGAATTATTGAGATTGCGGGTAACTGAGATAAAAAAAAATATGAGAAAATGCAAAGATGCATAGAGACACGAATAAAATAAAATACCAATCTTTTTATGAGTACTATACTTCTTTCAAAGAATACTTTTTAAAAATCAATCGAGATAAAAATGACTATTGTAATTAAATTAAAATGGAATAATTCCAAATCTTTTACCAGCGGTATAATTTTTCATAATAGTGCAACAATTTAAATATTAAGAAGACATACCTCGTTCGCGTGAACTTGATTGCTCACACTTCCTTGGATATATCGTAACTCCTGCTGGGATATTCTGGGATGCGCGGCAGGCGTATCAAAGGCGAAGAAGTACCAGAAAAGGCACCAAATGGTACCGATACTCCCGGTCGTATAGAAGACCGCTCTCCATCCGAAATGAGCGATGATGAATCCGCACAGTGGATAGGTTATCCCGATGCCGACACTGAACCCTGAATATAGATAATCTAGATGTTAGGAGTAGCTCACCGCACGACCCGGAAGGAAGCTGAAACATGATGCTTGTCGAATGGCTTCGCCTTGGCTCGTGTACGATTCATGCGTGGGCGATGATCGCTCTTCAGCGGTGGCGTATATTTCACCCTGTAAAGCGATTCAAGTAAAGACTTAGTACGACGAGATGAGGATGAACGCACGTGACAATGCTGGCTACAGTGGGACAATGAAACTTCTATACCTGAAAATATCAAGAGCAAGGTGCAAACGAAACATTCGCGATATTACACGTACACACGTTGTACCGACACTCTTCTCACTGAATTTTTTCGACTCGTTGGAACGATCAATAGAAATATGACGAACTGATGCATCAAAGAGATTCACACATGCTCCTGATCGAAAATTTCAAGTACTTTTTTTTATCTTTTGGTAGACTTGATATTTCTATTTCTATGATAAAACATATGAAATAAAATTAGAAATTTTTCAAAATGGCTTTCACTCGCTTTAACGTCAACACAAGACTGAATGACTTGCAAATAATATACTGCTTAATCAAAGAATTTGCAAATTCTCGGGTTTCTTTTCATCGTGCATAAATAGCTGGATCGTTCATCGTGAATCTCTTTGAAGATAGTTTTCTTTATCTGAAACTCAGCCTTGACTATTAACATGGTACAGTGTTTCATAACGAATAATATAAACTTCCCTCTGCTGATACGTTCTGTGTATACCGATTAAAACGTAAATCTCGGTGTATACCGAGTAAAACGTAATAGATCGTATTACGCGCGATCAGTGAAACAAGGCATTCCACGATCGACTCATGCGATCGATAATAGCAGAGTGGTACATATTGCACACACCAAGGCTAGGCCGTTGTGACACGAATGAAAAAGAATGAAAGGGGAAAAATATATATATATACATAAATGAAACGAAATGGAATGTCGTTGCGTTATATAAAACATTATCGATCGTTTCCGGGAAAGTTTGAGTGAGAAGGATGATTACTGTATTGGTCGGTCGTTGAACAAAGGCGTATACGAGATTCTCCGTGGCGGCAGGACTTGACATATAGAAAAGAATATACAGATAACGATGAAAAAATATTAGCGTGTTATATACGAAACGTGTCGCCGTCGAGCCTGGCTGATTCTACCAGCTGGAAGTATACTCGGCCTTTCTCATGCTGTTGAGCGGTTGCTGATGAGTATACCCCTCGGTCCGGCGAATGCAACCACGTGGAGCTTAAAAAGCAATCAGACAAACAAAATGAAAGAACCCGTCGTACGTTTCTCGAAAATCTGACTGACACGCATCTAAATACTTATATCTCGTTGATCCGTGAATTTCGACTGAAAAACAACAAAAAAAACCTTTCATATTTATCTTTTATTTTTGTTCTTTTCTTTTATTTTTATTTATTTATTTATTTTTTTTTTTTTTGTCATTTCAAACAGGATAAAATATGCTTCTCATTCGAACTTCCGCTTCTTGTGTTCTGAAAGAAGCGTCAGACCATATTAGTCATTATGCATTATATCGTTGAAAGCAAAACAGAAAGAAAGAAACGACAAACAGACACGAAATTGAAACAATTAGATTTGTTTAGTACCGCGAATCCGTCTCGTGCATCTTGAAATTTTCCTACAATACAACACAAGAAGAACGATTTGTTAGCACTGGTAACACTCACCTTGGAAGGAAGACATAAAACGCGACCGCTCCACAGGAGGGATCCAGTGTCCGACAATCGCGTACATTGCAGGCCACGTGAGTCCCTGGACATACGTAATACGCACGTTTTTAACGATCATAATAACGACTAATTATTCGATCGAATTTCTCTCTTCATGCAATATTCTTATTTTTTTTTTTTTTTTTTTTTCTCGTTTATTACGTAAAGGGAGACTTACACTGGCAATACCCTGTATACTACGCAACGCGATCATAACTCCGTAGTGAATTCCCGCTGCAGAGGGCATCAGTAAACTACAGATCGCCGTGATTAGTTGTGAACCACCAAACACCGTCTTTGTACCAAAGTACTGCGTCAGCACGCCACCGACTACTTGCGACAGGATGTAACACCAGTAGAACGAGCCGGTAATGGCAGACTGTATGGTTGGACTCCAATCAAACTCTCCTTGATCCTGCACGAAGACAAAAGAATCTTACGAATTTTATCCACAGTATGCGTAAAGAACGCTTAAGATTATATACATGTTAAATTGCGGATTATATATTTATACAATTTTATATTTTTATAAGTATTTCTATATTGTTTAGTACCGCTAAAATCTTCTATTAAAAAGAAGACCAAGTGTTACTTAAAGAACCGAAGGTTATCTACATTATTTCACTTGAGTGTTATACTATCCTACATATTTAAGTATTTTACTTAAGTGTTATACTATCTTTTTGTTATCCGCAGTACAATTATCGATAATGCCGTCACTTTTTTTTTCTACGAATTATTATTATCGGAGTTTTACTATCGTGCTTTAAAGTGCAAGGGGTTAGTGTCAAAGCTTTAAAATACGGCGGTAGAAAATTAAAAGTAAATTATAAGAAGAAAAAAAAAGGAAAAATGAAATATAAAATGAAAATTCATCACCGATTAATAGCTAACGGGTTATTCCTAATTTTTTAAACTATTGCAGCAAACAATCATGTTACTTATATGAGATTACTTAACAGTATCGTGGAATTCGTCGCAATTCCAACGATAGATGATTTTAATTCGATAAACTCGTGTCATGATTGCATAAGACGGTACGAGCTTTATGAACGTCATGGTAAATCGTAACGTAATCGTGGTTTTAATCATCCTATCGATTTCAACCTGGTGGAATTAACAAGCCACGGGAATTATTAATTTCTGCTTAATAGGACTTCGTAATGTCATCTTCCGTGAGAAAGATCGGCCACGTGATATTACGTTCTTTAACTCCTAGTAATCAATGCGATCTGCGTAATGTAACATTTCAAATCCGTATTTCGCTTCCTGAAACGACTATGTAACAATAGTGTACACGATTCTCTCGCGGTCAACTCGGCTAACCATGTACCGCGTCGTCGTTACTGCGGAACAGCGTCCATCAAAGTACACACATCTTAGAAAAAAATTAAATCGTGCCATATATGATCGCTTAGAAAACACAATGTGGCAAAAATACATAAAAGAACTTTTAGTCAAATAGTATCATTGAATTGCAGATATATTGATTGTTATAATTTATGTGTATTTATCCTATTACAATTACGTACATTACGTATTATGTACAATTTACGTAAGATTACCAACATCAAATTGTTGACCCAATAACACCACTTGAGAACTAATGCCATAAAATCTTTCTCACTCGAAACTTTTCGAAGTTCTTTTCTTCGAAGAAAAGGAATTCAAGGAACGCTGTTTGTTCGTACGTGATCACGATTTTGCAATTAAGAGAATATCGACGCAAGAATTCGCGCGATATGCTGTTTCTCGTATATCCACAACAATGATATTACCTCAAGTCTGATCGGTGTGTTGTTGGTGAACGATGCATTCGGCGTTACGTAACAATACTGGGATGTCACGGTAACGTTGGTGTCCGATGTCGTAGGTGGCGGTTTCACCATCGCTACCATGGTGATGTTGATATCGTTCCTCATCATGAACGAGACGGTAAATCCCGAGAACGACAGCATGTAGAGCACCACCCGTGCCGGGACCATGTCTGCAAACGCGAACTTGCTCTGTGATCGACGTATCATCACTATGACTCGAGCTTTTCAAATGCTCTCTTTCATTTTTTCTCTAACGACTCTAACAACATGTTTCTTCACGAAATATATTTTACAGAATTGTTTTCTTTTTTCTTTTTCTTTCTTTAACGATTTGATAGTTTGAAGAGTCCTTTACCTCTCAGTTTTCGCAGGCTGCAGGATGATCGTGTCTTATATATGGTATGATCTTCGTATCTGCGTAATAGATACAATTGACATTTTTATATGGAAACCAAGGAATCAGTTGAGTTATAGAGAACGAAAGGAGAGAAACCAAAAAAAAAAAAAAAAAAACAACAACAACAGAAAAATAAGTCTTGATCGGAACTAGTTACGCGAAATGAGATCGGAGACAAAGTAAATTTAGACCGTCACCAATTAGACGTCCTAGCAAAGACATTCTTCATCCGTTTCTTCATTCTCTTTGACAGAGTTTCTGTACAGTCGGAATCGCAGCGATTTTATCCACACAAGGTGTCCAAGAGAATTGATCAAAGCGAAAGGAAGAAGAGACTCTCTTTGATGGTGTGTCTGACAGATGACCGTTCGAAACCACTTACTCTCCGATCCGCCAATTTAGACGCAGTATTTGATCGGCGTTTGCGCTGAATTCGTTCTTTTTCTCAATGCTATTGTTGGCGTGATGTAACAATATACAAGTCACGACGAGCAATCCGGCTTAATAACAGCGGGATATTCAGTTAATGATCAACAATTACAGCGTTGTACTCATCTACGAACGATGTTCAAAAGCAACTTTATCGCTGCATCGGCGAGTAAAAAAAATCGGTTCTCTTACCTCTGTGAGTCTTTCATCTTTATGCCGGTTGATCGCTCTTTCATCGAATAGGACTTCGTCGTGGAACACCTACGATCGAGAAACAGAACGTAGAGAAATTAATTCTTTGATCGATTAAACTAGTGGATTACTGAAAAACATGTGTATTCCCTGAAAATAATTCCGAGTAGTGTAAAAGTTTGAAAAATTGTTTCTTTAGATCTGGTATATAATTATTTATTTATTTCTTAATACGTGTGCCTCACGTGATTTAATTTAATTTAATTTTAATTAAGTTTAAATTTAAACAAGCAAAGCATAGTCATTTTTAGAGTTCCTCTACGACGTTAACTTCTAACGATGTTATTATTTTTTAAAAAAAATTTATATACATACTATGTATAATTTGTAACCTACATGCTACGTAAAATATGAAAATTGAGCCACAAAAGTAGCTTTGTCGGTCCTCCGAAGATAAAAGGCTTAAGTCGTCAATATCCGCGAAATTGATTAAAGATCTGTACATTAATCTATACGACTAGTATATTAATCAGATTATACGATATAATAGTCTGGATGAACGTTGGAAAGAATTACACGATCATAAATCGCCGGAACATTAATAGAAATTAACAAGGATCGTTACACTGTGGCTAAATCGCTTAGACGATTTAGCTATTAGATTCGCCATTATCATACAGCGGGCGGCCCGCCCATTAGCAAGTTAACGTACATAATCAATTCACGTGAAACCGTGCAATCGTTTAGCCGCACATTTTTGCATCAATTGGCGACACAATGATGTAGCAATTTCGTGCAACGGATCGCTCAACAGAGGTTCGCTGCATTTTTATGTAACTTCCTCAAGGTTATACGTTCGTCAAGATCCTTTGTCCGGTCCCTACGATTACACATAATTCGACCGCGACTACGCGAACACTTCTCACAGTGCAGTTACTGGCCCTAATTAACCACACGATGATTGTTTCAATGTTACGTCGAATAGCAATATACGTATACTTTTCTTCTGTCTTTCCATCAAATAAAAAATTAACGCGACGCGAAATGAAATGACTAAGGAGAATGATATACGAGTTTGAAAAGTGCAAGATAAGTTTATTTTTTATCGTTTCTCCTTCGAGTGACGTTCATTGGCTCTCTTGATCAGCTGAAGCCACGTGTTCTTATTGGAGAAATGGGATCGATGAGGAATGAAATTCAGCTCAGAATTTAATAGCGTGCATACAACGGCGCGATGAAATTCCGACACGAAACTCATATACGCGGCATCTGACGAACGCCATTTGAGATCTCGCAAATGATCGAAGCTAGAGCGAAATTACGCGTCGAACAACCTTGCTTCGAGGAGAACCTTCTTTCGAAAAAAGGTTACTCGGAGTGTTTCGCGAAACGTTTCCTCGTACGTATTTCATCCTGCTTCCTATAACGATCGTTGAACGATCATGCGTGTGTAGTTTCCTTGCGGTAATTTTAATTGAAATTGTAATTAAAGAACAAATTGATACGATTGCAGAATAACACAGTGCTTAGTTATTAATTGCTACGTAACAAATAATAACTAACTGGTAGACTGCATATTTTTTCACATTTATGGAAAACCTAAAAAGTATAAAAATACGTGAGGTAGTCGTAATATAAAATAGTAAAGACAAACAAACAAACGCGAAGATATAAAATTGCATCAAGATCTGCAATCTACTTAGTCAGCATGACTTTTTCTTCTGAATAATTCACAAGTAATTTCTTATTCGTTTATGTTTCTAGTCTAGAACATTATATGTTCAACGACTTTTTGCACGATCAGATATTCACCTATGATTCATTCCACAAATATATGGTTGATTTACATTTCGTTGTGTTCACGACATTTCTGTCGTTCGAACTCATTAGTCACAGGAAACGATACGCACGGCGATGCGAATTGTTCGCAGGAAATACGCAATGTTTCGCAATGATTGAAATCGCGGCGTTTCCATAGTGTTTTTGTTCCGATATAGAGCTCCGCAGTGACATGTATTCGATCAGTGATATGTACTCTGTTATCTTTGTTGGTTTTGCCCTCCTACACACGATTCCTATCGATATTATATAATCGAGTTGTTGACTAATTCGTAGTTACATGTTATACTTCACGCTTCACGACAGAAAAGTCCATATAACCATATAACCAGCTACCTCAGCTGTCAAATCAAACTGTACATCGCGTGGCTAATATCTCTGCTTGCCGAGTATATGCCGACTAATCGATGCGATTCCTCGAAGTTCTTGTTACACTCTTTACCGTATTGAATTCAAATTTACTTCGATATTGCAAATTTTTATTCAAAAATTTTGATGTTCGAAATATTTGTTTCTTTAAATTATCTACAATGACAACGCAACGTTAAATACGTAGCGATTTCTTTTAACTTTTAACATCACTCGCCTGTCCGATTTGAAAAATTCATGAGAATTCGATTGTTGCAGGTAGAATAATGACAGAGCGAAAAAATGTATGAATTTAATTAAGTAGAAGTTGCTATGAATGCAAAGACACAAGTTAATTAGAAAAGTTGCTACTCTTTTAGAATCTCGTATTTTACTCGTAAATTAAAATTATTCGTGTATTTTCATGTTCCGTGTCTGCACAACATCGAATGGAAATTGGACAAAATAAATCGGCGACTATTTGGATCAGCGTCCATTGTTCGTACAGTCCGATCGCAAATAATAAAAGAGCCAAGAAACGAGTTACTTACAGCAACGAGGTAGAACCAATTCAAGTTTCAGCTTCCCGGATCAATTTCCACTCTCAACTTACACTACTCAGCAGCAACAAAACATGAAACAATATCCGCGGAAAATGATGAACTCGGTGCTTTCAAGCTACTGCAAATGATTCAGAAATAAAGCGAAATCACCAATTTGCTCACTCCCGTTACCCAGACGAAACAACCCAACAGACTGACTTGAATAACAGCGTGATTATGCAATTAAAATTCGATCAACTTGACTCTATTCTCTATAGGGATTTCCAACAATAATAAAAATGAAATTTCTCGAGTGATGACGGCTCGAGAGAGAGAGAGTCGCGTCGAAGCGAAACTGACTGACAATGAGTTAAAGTCAATCGGTGCTCGATGACTGGCAGCAAGCAAAGGAATCAAAGCAATTAATGTCGAGAAGTCGAAGAAATCGTCTCGGACGAGGAGAACGGCCGACACTGAAAGCCGACCGGACCACGAGGCATTGACTATCTTCTGAACCCCACCACTGCGTGCGTTTTAAACGGTCTTCTGCCGGGTAGGAAGTCCACAGGGATCGCGAGCACACCGCTAATCACGAAGAAACGTGACAATGATAATGCGTGATACTTTTCGCTGCGATAGTTGGACTATCATCACACAGCGACACAGTGTTGAGATAGTCCTCTCAACACCGGATATCGCGTCGACGTCAAATAATGCTCGATACGATAATGAATAATGGGTGTCAATTGGAGTTCGAAGACATGCCACGCGAAGCTACTTATTACTCTTCATTATGAAATGCCACTGCGAAGAGATCGTGATGAATCACGTGTTCCTTGAAATTTTTTTACCACTCGCGCATCACTTGCTCCCTTTCGTATTTAGAGAGTCAACGAGATGCACAATGACGTATGATGGAAACTTTCGACGACTTTCTTTCGCTTGGGATATTCTTGAGATGTAAAGAGGGTAGTTGATTTATGAAGTGTCCCTGATACAATCAATACAGCAAAATAAGTTGAATAAAGGGATAAAATTTCTTCGTTTAAAACTTGAAAATTTTTTCACGTCATTTTGGATTTGTCCAATTTCAAATTGAACAAAAAAAGAACAAATATAATTTCGTAGATATCTGTCGAATAAAATGTTTTCATAAGACATTTCGTTTCTGGGAAAATTCAACTTGAAAATTTACCAAATGAATACGTGACAAGATAATTCTTAAGACACTGACGTCAAGAAATAAGAAATATATACTTCCTAAAATGGTCTGACAGCTGAAAATATATATGTATGAACTGAAGCTTAATTCTTTTGAAAATACAGTAATGAAACTTTATTTTTTATTTCTGACTTTCTCATTTGTACAGTCTCTATTTGGAATAGCCTCCTGTTTAGCTCAGAATTAATTAAATTCGAGTATGACTAATTTATAATTTGATATTCTCAAAATCGTAGCCTTAAATAAGAAAACAATATATTTTCCTTTGAACTTACAGTGTATATAAAATTACCCTGCAATCGATTACCCTCCAAGCGATTTCAAGGATGCGAAAAGTGTGTGCAATTGAGAACTGTCAGTAAATTAGTTTGTTTAGCATAAAATTCACATAAGTTCATAAGTTTGTTCATAAATTCTCTTTTCCCGAGGTTTCTAACTCAATATGTTTCCCTGTGGAATTGGAGTAATTTTGAAATTGAAATTCACCCGGTGTTATGCAAACACACAAAAATTGATGGTTAACTAAGGAATGTTTAATCAAACATGTTTCACGCGTTTCATCTTTTGTGTGGAAATTTTTAATAATAACAGATGTGATACTAAAAGTACAGAGTTGCGAACGAAACATTAGGAAATACAAACATTTTAAATATTTAGTACATATGAGTTTCTGATAAATGTGTTTCTGATAAATTATCAGTAGATACGAACTTTTTGAAATATCGATTCGATATCGATGCATGGATTAAAATATTTCGTTATTTTTTTCGATCATATGTGAACGCCACAAGTAGCGTTCATAAAATGACAAGGTCATCATGAAGGAACCGATCAATTTTTTGCAGATCGATTGATCGATTATGTGAAAGGCGTTTGTATTCTGCCCTGAGTATACAGACTGTTGCGTAACAGGTGTGACAAAGTTTTTATTTCGTATAAGCCATGTTATCTCAACAAATCGATTATAATATACCGTACGATATAAGGTCTTATTAGTTTTTCATATATGCTAGTAGTATATTTATTATTCAATGCCATACATGACATACAAGAGTGTTTATCTAAAAATTCGCTGAGACAGTCATTAATTCTAAAATCGTACTTTATATGAAACTTGATATTAGTTTGGATCAAGAGGGAAATTGTAAAAACACAGTATTTTAAAGTTAACAAAACGAATACAAGTGTTTTAAAACCAAATCTTGTTGTGAAAAACGAAAGAAATATGCGTCTACTGAATTTCGTTCTCCGTATTAAGCTTAATTATTTCTTAGTTGACCCTATTAAGCGGTACGAATAAGTCGAATTGTACAATTCGCTCGATGAAAATTCTTAAACCGGCCGGCGTCAAATTAGGCACGTGACTGGTTCTCGTGACCTTACTGGCTATCCTCGATTGTTCGATTTCCAAAAAATTATACGTCTATTTATTTATCTGAACTTAAATGCATGTATTTACTTATCTAAACTTATCGTAAATGGTAATGTACACAATACATAGCGTATAATATGATATATTCTTTGTCTTATCTTCTCTTCTAGCTAATTTCACAGACAGTTATCCTATTGTGTAACTAACCTAAGGATTTTATGCTGTAATGAAGAGGGAGAATTAAGAAATGTATCTAGACGTATACAAACTAGGATTGAGACTATAGGAATGTATATTCTGACTAATTATAAATAACAGCTCCAATGATATACATAGAAGCGACGTATGTAGTGAACAATTTCGAATATACATCAAACACCGGTAATTGTGATAATCAAAGTAACGAAAATCGATAATTCACGAATTGACGCACGAATTTGTTACGAAATTGCCACGGATTGCGTCATTCAAAATATCTCCGATCATCATTTTTACTAATTTTATATTTCAACTGATATAATCATTCGATATAGATCGAAATTCACAGAATGAAGCGACGATGTCAGCTTCAACAGACCCTAACCTCGCGGCATTGACGCTTGTCTACAACTTTGAGGTTATGTCCGTCCGCGATGATCTCGGTACAAATAAAGCACGTAGCCGTGACCGTGGCCTACGTAATCAAAAAAAGGAATAGAAGAAAAGAAGCAAAATCGATCGTGACAGTAACTCACCCTGATCTGTTTCACTTCCGGTCAAGAGTTGTTGCAATTCCACGAACCTCGTTCCGACTCACATTTTCAGTCGGAGACACGCGACTCGCCAGTTTTCACGCGCTTAATGACATTATTTTTTGAAGATAGAGAAGACCGTGGCTGCGTTCAACCTCGCTGTCATTCAAACAGAACACACGAAACACACATCAGCACACACGGCACAGATTCGCAAGCGTGCGACTTGGAACGGCGTTTCTTGGAAGCGTAATGGTCACGTGACACGACCACGCTCGCGCACCGATCGATTTAAAGCCGTCGCGTCGTCACGCGGCGCCGCGTTGTGTTTCTCCTTTCGCTATTTCGTTTCAAATCGAATCGCAAAATGTCATCGATTTTTCCTCGACTGACGCAGATGGGTGGTTGAACTGGCAAGGTCAAAAATGGGAACTCATTCCCCCGATGACGTAATATAACCTTTTCTTTTTCATGGCCAAGTTGCGACTTCATAGACCAATTATTAAACGACTGTAGAAAATGGAGAATGTTTCGTAGTTACTTAAATTAATAATGAAGCTACTTTAACAACTTAAATTAATAATGAACTTAAACGTGTCGTTTTGAAGTAAACTATTGAAATTTTCATTTTTATTATCTTGGGATTTTTATACAATTACCAGTTGCTAATGTGTTGATTTGAAAGAATATAATATTAAAATAAAATAAAACTTGAGAGTGAAATGTGATATTGAGTTTTGAATTTAAAATTATATTTAAAGGTCCGTATTAGCGATGTGATATTGTTAGAATTTACATTTGAAGCGATTGTAAGAGAATGCATGTTTCTTTACATTGTGTAATCTCTTTTATATTAATGAATTCATCTAGAAATTACAATAGAATTATGACAATGTGCTTCTTTGTTCATACGCGAACGAATGTCCTGTTGTACATATGTTAAATAGATCAAAGTCTATTCGACATGAAGGTCTCTTGAACAATTTTTTCTCTATTTTTCCAGCTGGTATTTTCTAATGTCAGATTGCGCATTTCTTTTTTACATAAACAGCAATTATTGGCATCAATTACGATTCTCTGAACGAGGCCACCCAGTGTACTGAATTTTGCACTTATGAAAGATTCAAAGTATTCAAGCATAACGCGAAACATTTTGCTGGCCGACGTTAACTTCGTATCGATTGTTCGTTCGATCATAAACTGTCACAAACCGCAAAGTTCACGATCGATCCCTCTTTGCACCTCGTGTACTTTAAATACAACGTCCGGAATTGCTTTCGGAAAATTTGATATAAATTTCCAATGTTAAAATGATAACAAACTCGTTCTAAATGTCGCCATATACACAATGAATCAACCGAATAATTCTGCCCATCCACGAAAAAAACTTGCAAAGTGCTCTTCCACTTCGAATCACAAGTATTTTTAACATTGTACATTTGGAAGTATAATTATTCACTTCATAAAAATAAGCTGTACAATTTTCTCTACTGAAAAAGAAAAGAAACATTCGAATGCAATATAAACGTGATTTCGGCGTGCAAACGAAAACCTCTAGGTTAAACTTGTACATTTCTTGTGATTATTCGCAGATTAAAACGAATTTCTTCGACAGCAACTTATATAGTGGACGACGATGAATATATAGATAGAGTGAAGAGTGCTTCGTTGGAAAACGCGAGTATCCTGACGCCTAGGGATCGTCAGAGAGACATTAATCATTTCGATAGAAGAATTGATAAAACTGTAATTGTGTAATCACCAATATCCTTCTTTATTCAATAGCGTCATCGTATTTTAATTTTCCCGACCTGTTTCACACGTGATCTTAGACCTCCAGCACGACATTCAGCGGTAGAAAGTTTTGGAATTGTCACGCAAGGCCAACAAATGTCTACGTACCGGAAAATTCTGTGATTCAAGAAGGTATTTTGTTGCATACGGAGATAATTAATTACATGATAACACAATCACTTATCTCACAGTGTAGAGTTGGTTGCGTGTACTCGTATTTTCTGTTCTTGTTTTATTCACCTAATCACGTATTCTCTGTTGGATTAATTAAGAAGCTAGTTAAACCGATTATGGTAATCGACAATCACTATCCGCAGACATTCGTTATTTATGCGACATTGCTGACTTGCTCAAAGTTGGCAACGAGTTTCCAACTTCTAGGTCGAACGTTTCTAACTTTTGACTAATCATGGAAACTGATTGTCGCAGAGAGCGAGTTTATTGGTACATTGACAAAGCAGTTGTACAAAGTTGAGAGTCAGGTGCAAAAAGTGCAATCTGACTTGAAGAGAAGCGAAGAGCAAATAAAGTTGAAGGATCAGGAGATTTCCCAATTGAAACGGAAGGTTCTTCTTGCTGTTTCCTTCATTTGTCATAGCTCCTTTCATTTGCATGACGGCATTCGATTTGCTACAGGTGAAAGAATGGGAGACCAAGTGCAAGAACCAAGAGATTCTGCGAAAAAAGGAGCAGCAACAGCGACGAGTTGAAGTCGATCATTCCGAATATCTCTACAAGAGATGTCTGATGCTCGAACAGAGAATTTACGAGATGGAGGTTAATTATACGCGCGCATAAAACATTTTGTTATCCAAAATTGTGTTATCTCTATTAAAATCATCGTGTTGCCATTTTTTCTTTAGAAATTCTTGGCCGATTATGGTCTGGTCTGGGTCGGCAATACAAACTGCTCGAAGTATCCTGAAACGATAGCCAAGTAAATCGAGTATACGTTACTATTTCAAGCGATCGGCACCCGATCGAATTAATGATCAGTTAGCCGTGCCTTTTAGCAACACCATCGAGACTTGTTACGAGCAGATTATCACGAACATCGATCAGCTGAATCTGGCCGCTGGAAAGGGCGAAGTTCACGTGCAGCACAACGAAAGAGGAAACGGAGCTTCGTTCAAAGTAAATCTCTATCTATATTATTTTCTCTTAGAATTATTTACTTTGTATAAAATAATTTACAACGATTCACGAACGTGAAACTTCTTTGAATTCTTTTTTTTTTTTCTTTTTTCAATACATTGCTGAAATTTCCGTAATTTATAAAAATATAAAGCGGTAAGATGTTCTAGATATCTACATAATTTTTTAAGAATTGCGAAACAAATTCCTACACTGTTTGATGTTATGCGTTCTGACGAAATATGGTTACGTGATCGTTTTTTTTTCCCCATCATTTTATAAAACGCTAATAGATACGTTTCATTGATATTTCCAATCAATTTTCGTCAATATTTTGCTCTGAATGTATTCTAACGTAACACAGAAGGCTGTTAATCAATCGAATCGGTTGTCTACGCGAATAACAATGACGAATATGAGTTAACAAAATGAACAAATAATTACACCACAATTCTAACTTGCAGCTGACAATGAGTCAACCGTAGTTTCTCGTTTTTCCGATAATGAATAATAATTAATTGCGCGATAATGCATATACCTAACGTTAAATCATTTTGTCAAAGCGCGATTAGTGAACTTTAATAACATAATACGTTGTTTAATAATTGTTCAAAGACCGCCTCTTGCATGTCATTGAAATTCTACAAAAATGGAATGATAGTTCAAGACGGCCCATTACGATCTTACAACGATCCAACTACGTTATCGTTTCTACGTGATATCATGGATGGCTATTTCCCTTCTGAATTACAGGAAGCTTATCCAGAGGGTGTACCCTTCAAGGTGAAATTTCAATTTTAATTTTTGTCAAAAGAAGGAAAAGGAAAGGAATTTACTTTGAGAACTGTTCTATTAGGTTGAGGATCATAGAAATCAAGTGTTCTTGAATTCCGATTTTCCTGGCCAAGGTTATCGATTGGGAAGAGAAATGGCTGATAATATACCGATGTCATCTAGACTTACTCGTAGACGTAGTAACCAGAGATCGAATCGTCGCAGTGCCTTTCCGAGGGAAAAAGACAGTCTATATAATTTTGACTCCTCTAAAGAACTCTTTTCTACCACAGCTCGGTAACAATAAATCATATCCAGAATTTTTTAACAATTGAACATGAAACTTCTCGACAGATCGAAACTGAAAACTCCTTTGGAAGCTCCTCCTGTAGAAATGTTTGTCCTCCGTTCTCAAATCATGGCATCACACAACAACATCTGCTCCGATACTCATTTACAATCGCACATTAATGCAGAACTCGGTTTGAGCGAAAAGAGAACGACTCGAAGAGAGAAAGTAACTTTTTCATAAAGAGTCTGATATCATATAAAAAATGAATGAATTGTCTATACAAGTAATGCTTACTTAAAACTTTTTCTCGTAAGCGTGAAACGTCTAAGAACAGAGAATATGAAAACTCGGGAAGAGAGGCAGGTTCAAAATCTAGAGGTGTTATGAGGTTCCCAAGCTCTGGTAGATGTTATCATACTTCCACCGAGAGAGCATCTAAATTATCGCCCAAGTAAAAATTTATCAATTGGAATACATTAGGTTAATAACTTAACAGCGTTATCCTCAATTTAGCCGGCTAGATAACGCGGATGAACGTCTCAGGCAACGATCAAGATCCGCCAGCTTACCAAATTCTCGATTCTCCATTACTTCAAGGTCAGCACCAAAGATGAACGTCGATCCTTCACAATTTTCTTCGCCGCATCATCAGGCTACAGTAAAAAAAAGTCAACAAGCTGCAAGATCTGCTGCACCGAGCAGGAAGAATGCAGTAAGGATATGATTCTTTTCGTAACCGACTAATTTGAATGATAAATCTTTAATATTCTTCCGACTGTTCCAGCCTCCTATTTTACATCAGATCAACGAATCGTCTGGGAAACCGGGTGAACTTCGATTGAAAGTCAGATCATTAAACGGCGGTACGGTTTATCTGGTACACGTGTCTGCCGACGAACCGATAGCCCGACTTTATCAATTATTAGATAGAGCAATGGCAAGAACTGTTCCTCGAGGATACAAAATTGTTCTTAGCGGGTAAAAATTTATTCACTGTCTTCGTCTCAAAATTTTATATTATATTATGATATATATATATTTACATTTTTCTATCCTCAGTTATTCACCAAGAAGATTGGAGCACTTAGGAACAACTTTAAGAGAAATTGGCATTACTAGAGACAGCGTTCTGCATTTAGTGAACGATTGAACTTCAAAATTTTTCAACTTTTTGTATTAGCGTTATTTAAAAGAAAAAAAGATTGTAAAAATATTAAGTTTGTAGGAAATACATCATAACATAAAAAAAATCTACTTTCATTTCATTTCAATACATTTTTTCTAATACTTTTAAATAGATGTTAATAATTAAATTATTATAATTATATATTAAATATTTTTCATCTCAATTTTCATCAATCTCTGTTTTAAATCATTATATTCCTTTATTGATGAAGTATCAAAAAATCTAGCAACACTGTCCATATTTTTTAATTTTCGCGGTATAAAACTTGCTTGAATCGGTACGACAGGATATGACAAAAATGGTAACGGGATCAGCTGACTTGGAATCGTTGGCCAAAAAAAATACATCGTATGCTGGGTCCATTCATAAACCTCATCTGTGTTTGTGGTTTGGTCTTATCATTTATATCTTCTGTAAAACTTCAAGTCCCATGTTCTGAAATACCGACCTCAAAAAAAATCAGCGCGTTGCGCCCTCTGTGATGTACTGCGATAACATTACAATTCTACTCAATCGTCAAAGATGAAGTAGCATTCTTATTACGTAATAATTAATTAGAATGGTGATTTTTTCTTAGAACCTGTAATTAAATCTTAAACTCAAGACATACTTATGTACTGAATCAAAATTAAAAAGAGAAAATAAAATTACATTATAGTATACTTTATTGTAACTGTAATTATATTGTTAAAAAGCATTGTCTTTAATTACACCCTATATTTATCAATCGAATCATCATTTATTCCAGTGAGTGGAATTAATTTGCGTAGATATTCATGTTATAAGTGTATAATGCATAACATGTTCTCTGTTAAAAATATTTTCATAAGATACTTCGTTTCTTCACGACATATTAATCCTATTCGCGAATGTTCGAACCCCCACCCCACCAAATTAGATGACGTAACCTGTTGCGCGAGGGTTAGTATATTGTCGAAAACCATGGCGTCCGGATGTATCAGTGCGAGTGTCGTTTATTAACTGTGTAATTTTTTCACCACCATCTTCTCACGTTTCATAGCCATGCTGTTCAACATACTTTAATTAACGTAAGTAATGTATGGTAAGATTCCATTGATATTACTTTAATGAAGGCAAATTCTTTTTCGAAAAGGAACGCTTTCGCTGATGGGTTTGAATATGTTCTGCGCATCATTGCCGTTCGTTTACTGCGCAGCTTGACTTACTGACGCCATGTTTGATCCATACAAAGTATTTGAAACTCTCGTAACATCAGATTATAATTTTGAAGAAAGTGTTATCCAGAAGAGTGTATAATGTGTATAATACATAATGTGTTCTCTGTTAATAATATTTTCATAAGATACTTTGTTTCTTCACGTACATATTAATCGCATCCTATTTGCGAATACTCGAACCCCCACCCCACCAAATTAGTTTGATGACGTAACCTGTTGCGCGAGGGTTAGTATATTGTCGAAAATCATGGCGTCCGGATGTGTCAGTGCGAGTGTCGTTTATTAACTGCGTAATTCTTTCACCACCATCTTCTCACGTTTCATAGCCATGCTGTTCAACATACTTTAATTAACGTAGGTAATGTATGGTAAGATTTCATTGATGTTGCTTTAATGAAGGCAAATTCTTTTTCGAAAAGGAACGCTTTCGCTGATGGGTTTGAATATGTTCTGCGCATCATTGCCGTTCGTCTACTGCGCAGCTTGATTTGACGCCATATTTGATTCATACAAAGTATTTGAGACTCGTAACATATAATTTTGAAGAAAGAATTATCCAGAAGAATCATCCAGAAAGAATTATCATCCAAAAGTTCTCAGGTAAAAATATAAATCAATAGCTATTAGATTAGTGTTTGTGTTGTGAATTTTTAAGATAAAATTGCATTTTTCGTCTCAGCTCAAGGTAACATTTAACCGAATAATTATTATATGTAATTTTGAACAATTAAAGAAATAATAGCATATAAACATTTAAACAGAACATATCATGCTAAAAGTTATTTATAATTTTATATCATAATTTAATTTCAATGCTATCCAATAAAAATATTGTAACCTTGTAATTGACTAACCTCAGTGTTAGTACACACACACACACTCACATATTTTATTATATGTTTTTACACATACACTTCAATTATTTGTTGTTACTTTAACTTCGTACTGCGTAATTCTTAACAATTCTAATAATTATATTAACAATAATTTATTTGGAATGTACATATTTAATATTTAAAATAATAATTTTACTGCGTAATATAATGAAATTATTCATTTCTCAAATAGAGTAAAACGTAGAAGCTCGCAATTCGAAGTAAAAAACAACAATACGAACACAATGTTTATGTTCGTTTCAATCATCGTGCTTGTTCGGACAAAATCACCCTATACCTTACTACTTTCTCAATTGAATGACAAGACGTGTCGCGGGGACACGTGTCAATCGGCTGTGGAATTTCATGACAACAAGACGTATTACGTCGCATTAGGTTCGTAACTTCTAATCTATCGGCGTCGTTTCTTCGATACTCTTTTACTTTCATTTATTCAGCGCAAGCTTTCATATGTATAAAATTTCTAAAATACATTTAGCTGTAAAAGTTTGGTTTGTGCAAACATTTTCGAATATTTATGATACACAACGTGATTATATATATGTTATGTATTATTAATACGCATCACTTTAATAACGAACGTTCAGAATACAATAATTGTTTTTCATCTACAGTATTCAGTATTGAGAAATACTTTATAATTTAATACGTTATAATTTAAAACTGAATTTACAATTGTATATATATTCAAGTTTCTTTAGAATTATGTTCTAGAATAATAGCAGTATTTTTTAAATAAACGTATCCTTCGCCCTCTTTCCTTTTACTAATCAGCTTTATTTTCAGAAAATTTTTGTGACCGCGCGCAATGTGGTTGATAGAGTCAGTGTTTGCTGCGTAGTATTTTAATATTTTTCTGAGCAAAATGGCTCTCATTACATTAAATTAAATTCCTTTAAATTATAATTCGCGAAGTTAGAATCAGTGATTCCGCCGATTGTTGCTTAAACGCGCGCGTTGATAGTTTTTTATTTTTCTTTTTCTATATTTTTTCTTGTTCAATATTCGTTTTCAGTGTATTAGAGTCAGTGCTCAAGAGGATAAGGCCTCTCCAGGAGATCAAAATCGTAAGTAGTTTTATCTTCAATTTTTCAAATTTAATAATAAAGTATAATGTTTGATTTTTATTACAGACTCTTCGTAGCATCAATTTTTTTGCATTTTTGGGGGAAAATCCAACGGTGGCTCTAAGGCCCAGAATGTAAGAATCTCCCATTACCTCAAATTTAAGATTTTGCATTACTTTTTAATATATAAATTCTAATGTTTAATGTTTTGTTACAGATCTTCTACAGTCTCCATTTCCCCTCCAAGAATCTTATGGTGCTTCAAAAAATGTAAGTACTTTGTCATATTGTATATAAATTCTATTCTCTATAGCTCTCTTTCTATTGAAGTTGAATGTGAAGTCATAAAATAAATACATTTCAAATTATTAGTCCCAATTTTTATCATTATTAAAATTGAAATTTTCACAAATACCACCGTGTCTTTAGAAACAATATGTTTTATGTTTTTTAAAAAATTTTTCGCGGCGTTTACTTCCACTATGGTTTTACTCTTCGATTTTTCAAGTTTAGTATCGCGATTGCGGATAGGTCGCAAGTAAATCTTGAAACGAACGTTTATGTGGGTATTGCTCGAGCACGCACGTACGAACGAACAAGAATCACTATGATCAATGATCGTCCGTTTCATCTCAATTTTCATCAATCTCTGTTTTGAATTGTTATATTCCTTCATTGATGAAGTATCCCCGCGTTCAATGAATAAATATTAATTAATAATGAATAATTCTCGAGTTCTTTGGCAACACTGTCCATATTTTTTGATTTTCGCGGTGCAAAACTTGTCGTACTGAATCGGTACGACAGGATGTGACACGAAAATGGTAAATATCCTAATCGTGGGCCGAAAAAATACATTGTATGCTTGGTTCATATATCTCGTCCGTGGTCCTTAGTTAATAATTGCATGATAAAGCTGCAAAACCTTAATTTACATTGATTGATAAAAAACTTCCATCAATGTTTTACCATTGCTGGATACATGATTGTGCGTCGGTACACGAACCTTTATTTTGTTTGTTTTATTAATATTTATCATCGGAGAATGGTACCACATATGTACGACTGTAAATATAGCGTGATGCACTAGCGTATAGTAATTAATCTCAGGATACTAGCTGTCTTATGTCTTGGAGGTCTGTTGATTGATGCTTAATCTATTGATTATGCTGCACATATATCTCTTTGAGATGCTGGATAAATGCTTTTACAATAATGGAATCTCAAGTCCTTTGCCTTCATCACTACAGTGGCAAATTTAAGATCT